ATACAATGAGCTACTAGAATGAAAGTGATTTATTGATTTTGTAACTATACAACAGTTGGTAGAAAGGAGTGACCTGATGTTGCAGTTGTATTCAAAAGCGCTATTTTGGTATACTATCCATTCATACACCCGTTAAGAAAAACGTGATAGCGCAGCTAGTATTTCTATATATCTTAAGGATGAAAATTAGTAAACGATAAGAAAGTGATAATATACAAATTATCTATCAAAACAGGTATTTTATTGTTTTGCTGATAATATTAAGACTCAGGAGCATACAAGATCGTTTAAAATGTGTCATTTTCTTTTTTCCACAGTTTTAAAGATGTTGTTTTCGTACATGACTTACTATGAACTATGTTTTCATCTTAAACTTACATTAAAAGTAATTAAATATACCACACTGTCAACACAAGATATAACAACAATTTATATCCATCTAACCTATACATCCGATTGGGCAGTTGTTGTATCTTTTTATATTTCGTTGGTATAGTTTAATTTATTTAATGTATTTCTATGCATAAAATGTTCATTCGACGCGGATGTACATTACTTAATCAATTAGAATGGTTCTTACCAATCCGGTGTCCCTCAAATCAAAATTAATTAAATAATTCTCTGGGCAGTCCCATAGATATCACAACGAAGTAAAACAGAGCAATTTATTACGAATTGGTTATGGATGGCTTATGAAGTATAGGACTGTCGGAATGGATAGTTGACAAACGAAACGGCATCAAGCAAATATTACAAACTGTCAATCAAATAACCAACGTACATCTCAGTAAGATCAAGTAGGATTCTAACCCTGCTACTCACGTATTTTATCCAACAATTTTCTGCTTTTTTCCATTCGTTCTTCGATCCTCTTAACAACTTCGACCAATACCTCCCTTTCCCTCTCTACAACCATCCAAATTCCGTAGCAAAACGCCTCATTCTTAAACACGATAATGTCACGCACCATGTCCACCTCAATTCCACCCAAATATACCTCAAACACCCCTCTGTCCTTCTTATTGAATATAACCAGTTTAGTAGATGGCAACGTCGTTCTGCGGTATATGATTATGTTTCCCTCAGTGCTTGTTCGGTCCCATTTTGTAGTGTATTTGTACAAAGCGACGTGTGATGATGTGTAAATCGTTGAATGAAATGATGGATCGTAGCGCTGCAACACCCGCTGCAAAATTGATGATTGAACCTGTCTGGATAGCATTCACCAGGGTGACAAAAAAAGTGATTAAAACAGAATGATGTAGTATCGGCACTTACAATCAGAACTATTCTTATTTTATGTACTGAGTCGAGCTGAAGCACTTTCTTATATAGAACCGATACTAAACGATCACTTAAGTAATAAATTACAGTGATATATAAATTTAATTACTATTCGGTTTCGTTCACACCCCATTCAACAGGAAAATCCGAAAATTACCTTAAATCATAACAGCACGGCCATTGATCCTGGATACAAATAAAGAGTTGTTAACAGAATTTGTTTTAGATGTTATAACTCGTACAATATCGCAGCAATAAGAAAATTAAACGTTACATTTGTACGAAAAATAGAAAACGTAGCAATACAACGTTTCTTCTTCCACGACAGAGCAGAAAAGACGAGCTAAAATATTTTCTTCAAAGTATTTATTACCGCACATTCAATATCATCGAAAAAAATACGCTCTTACCGTCTGCTAAGACCGATTGTGGCAGTTGGGCCTAGTTCATGATTTCTCCTAGTTATGACGCAAAAAACCAACGACCCCTACGAATGGTAAAGTGGTCAAAGTCAGAAGACAGAATTCTCCTCCTCGCTGCGCAAAAGTACGGTCTGTCACACCTCCACAAAATATCAACGCTTTTATCGCGCTCACCGTCAGCGTGCTGTGCACGTTACAACCATCTCACCAAAAAAAAAGAATGGACACGATCGAGCGATTTACAGCTAATCAGATATGCAAAAAGTATGCCCAACCAATTTAACAGTATTGCTAGTCTGATGGGTACTACTGCAACACACGCACAGGAGCGTCTCGATTGGCTGGTTAAAAGCGACGTAGATGCGTTCCGTTACGATGAGCTGTGTGAGGATACACGTGATGAAAAAGAACGTATGAGTGCTGATAAAGAACTGATGATAAATGTCAGGCTTGGTAACGTTAGGGACAGAAAGGAGATGAGAAAGGAATTCATTGGTGCTAGTGATGCAACAAAGGTTAGACTAAGGAATAAGAGCATCATCGACAAAATAATGTGTAAGAAGATCAGATGTGCGAATATTCGTGAAATAATTGCCAACATGCCAGCACCAAAAAATTCGTAGTTATAGAACGGTTGAGTGCGTGTGGCAACGGCCTTAAATTGGTCATGTACATTTTCTACGTAGGTGTTTCATGTAGCATAGCATTCCATTGCTGAATGTTGACTTGGTTTATTGTTTATGCTTTCTGAGTAGAAAGCTATTGCAGAGCACTGCTCAAAGTGCGATAAACACGTTTAAAATAAAAAATGTATGAAACGGATATTTTTACATGCATTGATGTAAAACGGGGCGAAATGTCGCAGAGATCGTAAATGAGCTCGTTTGTTGTTTACTAAAACGCGTGCAAAGAAATGTTATCAGCCGTACTTATATGGTCAAATATCCAAAATTGTGTTTTTCATAATTCATTGCACAATTCCACCACCTCAATGATAAACGATCTCCTGTGTTTATTTCTCAAATATCATTATCAAGGCATCTCGTTCGATAATGCCAATCTATTCGTGCACTGACCCCTATGCAGATAGTGTTGATATTTATACCACTCTACTGTCGGTATGATACGCCTTCGTACCATATTACCATTTACTTATTTTCCCAGCACCACCAACTGCATACCTTGGCATCACGCAATCCTTGGAACAAGTCGACATACCATTGGTAAACACGTTCGTCCAATCTTCGCAGCACGACCAAGAAGGACCAATCACCCTCTCCCCACACATTTAAAATGAAATTTAAAACGAAAATCGGAATGCACACGATGTTAGAGCAACAATCGAACACAGGATGGGCGGGCAAATGGACAGGTGAGTGGATAGGAGAGTGGGTAGGTGCAGACAATGACAGGTGGAAGGGTGGATATGAAGGAAGTTGGAAGGGTGTGTATTATGAGCCGTTGAATGATGGAACGCGCAGGGAATTTAGAGGTGAATACAGGGGACGGTATGAGGGTGAGTGGAAGAACGAGTGGAAAGGTGAATGGAAGGGCGAGTGGAAAGGCGAATGGACAAATAAAGATGAGTTAGAAATACCGATCAAGAAGGAACTATAGCATATTAAGACGTTGCATAGGAAGTTTCTTCTGTTCAAAGAATATGCCGTTCCATAATAAACGCCTGTTTAATAAACTTATTGTATTTGTCATTTTTTCAGTACGTTCTTTGACCGAAATGAGCGGTTGCTTTCATCAGGTGGATGAATTGAAGAGAAATATGTGTCTTGCACGGTAATATACGCGCAAACTAGGATCGCCACGATGTAGCACTCGAGGTGGACAGAATACAATACGCCGTGAAGAATTTCATACTTGGTAATAAAGCAACAATATTGTAAGATAAATCAGCTATTACTGCTCTCTTTGCAATATATTTTCATTAACAAGCACGTTTGATACGGTCTAATCGTACTTATAGGTGATATTTCATTTATGTTGCTGTGTTAGGCTACGGTCTACCGTTGGTATAAAAACAGACTTTTACGATTATTTATTACACCATATGCTTAGACTGTGTACAGATGTGTTGTCAGCTTTGATCCTGGGTCCTTCTTCGTATCTGCGCGTCAATGTTGGTATTGACAAAGATAATTTTCACTAAAAAATATTTTTTCAATCCTTGCCAGGAAATGTAATACAAAAAAATGGTAGAAAGAATAAACTTTTACATACAATCAAGTTTTTGTTCCGCTCTATAAACAGAAGGAGCGCTGGTAATGTTTGTAAAACTTTCAGCTCCATTTCACTGCAGTATTAAGACGCATCTTTAAATTTGGTTTAGTTCTCATTCACCATAACGTTTTAGAACTGCTCATTCTTGCGAGATGTACATTTTACTGAGATATTTGGCAACGGTTTGGTCAGATCCGAATGCAAGGCAAGCCGCGATTTAAGCAAAGCACGAAGAAAGCATCAACCTATTCCTCTCATGAAAGAAATTTCTTACGCTCGTGAACGTATGTTATAGCAGCATTCAAGATACCGCGGATCACAGAGCGCTACACGCTTTTCACCAAAAACATGTTTATTTACCAAAACACACTCACATGGTGTATTGCGCTCTGGCATTCCCTGACAGAACCCATCATTTACTGCCCTACTGTCTCATCCATAGCACACCCATCGATGAAGATTGTCGTATTCAATCACATTTTCTAAATTAAGTACCATTTATTTACAAAAGCCGCTGCGGACGTACCCAGCGGTGCTGCACAAACACCCCCAATGCCTATCACAAAACACGAAATGCTCACAAAGTAACGACCGGTTGAAAAATATTCTATTTATTACACATCATACCACTCATCCCGTAAAATCAGGCATATCAACCGCATCATCTCCAAATCCCTTGTCATCATCCTTCTCGTCCTTCTTCATGCTCATTACTCCGTCTGGAGAGTAATTCTGCACATTTTGCAGGTTGAAATTGCTCGGCGTCGGCATTTTCATCATGTGCTTGAACGCACCGGGTGCCTTTATCGGCTGCCCATAGCTCATCGGATTGCCGTTCATCTCAAATCCCATGGGCGGTTGCATCGTATACGGTCGTGGCTGGGTGTAGTACGGCGGGTTGGCACGCATCTCCTCACTTCTTGAGAACATTCCCTTCTCAACAGGGCTACGCGGCTTAGTACGCGGTCTGCCACGCACAGGCACGTGTGCTCCCTTCTCTTCAACTTTCTTCTTCGGTCTTCCCCTCACGGGTGCATACCCGCCCTCCAGAACCTGTCGCGGGTTGATGGTGTTTTTACCATCCACAACGTTCACCATCACATCGGGCGTGTGCATCCTTCTCCTGCTCTCCATCGGATTGCCTGTAAATATTTCGGGTGTCATCCTCATTGGTGTTGCTCGTCCTTCCTGCCTCATGTCCATCCGCATGTCCACCATTCTCATGTCCATTCCCCTATCCACGGCACCTCTCATGTCCATGAACATTCTGCCATCAGGTGCCATTCTCATATCCCTTCTCTCCCCCCTTCTATCGCTGCGCATGTCCATCCGTTCGTTCCTCAGATCCGGTCTTTCGATTCTCACATCGCCACGCATGTCTCTCATTTCGCCCACCCGCATGTCATTCATTGTCCCTCTCACATCTATCCTTTCGTTTCTGATTTCGCCCATTCCACCACCTCTCACATCCATACCCATCCCGCCTCGCACGCTACCACCTACAGCACCCCTCTCCACTCTTCTGTTCCTTTTCATCTCATCATACTCATTCTCCATACTCTTTCCTCCCTCCTTCATTATAACTCCCTTCTGCACCAATAATCCATGTCTCTGGTCGATTGGTTCATTTCTGCTCTCCTGATTCGTTTTGTCCTTGCCGTGCTCACCCCTTTCCTTCACTCTTATCCTCGTTCGCTGGGTGCTACTCGTCATCTTTGGCTCTTTTTTGGCTGTTTCTACCGGCTGGGTGGTCACAGGCTCGCTGTAATTTCTTCGTCTCATGTCTGCCATTCTGAACATTTCTCTACGTTTCATCTCCAATATCTCGAGATTGCGGTATATTTCTTTGCGTTTTGCCTCGTTTTTTTCCACGTTGAGCATTTTAAGCATTTCAGAACGGTGCGATTCAAGTATATCGTAGGGTTTGAGGGGACTCGGACTTACGCGCGCAAAGCCGGGGGTAGCGGACATATAATTGGGCGGTACACCGGCACCGTAGGTGGCTGTGAGCGTGGGCTGACCGGGCGAGCTGAACTGAGCTGCCGGTGTGTATGCGCCAGCCGGAACTGTCTGTCTGGCGGGCAGAGGCATGCCCATACCGCCCGAGTGATGCGCGCCTAGACCAGGCGTGAGCGCAAGAGGTGCACACACCGCCTCACCGCTCCTAAGCTCGCCAAACTCTGCCGGTGCATTGCCACTTCCCGGTGTCTTTCTCATCACATCCTCTGTCACATGCTTTGCTTCCCCCTTCATGTGCTCCCTCACGTCCTTCCAATTGTAAAAACGTGTAAAGTTCTCAAAAATCGCCTTCAAGTCCTGCATTTTAACACTCATCACTCTTTTAAAGCCTCCTACGTACGTATCCTCCACCGTTCCCTGCCTGTACACCAGCCTGACACACTTATCATCCATTAAAGCAACCAGGCTCACGTACACGTTGCCCATCCGTCCCTTGACCGACCGTATCAAATTGGCATGTCCCACCATGCCGCTATACACCGTGTCCATCTCCTTCTCTCTCATTGCCCTAACCTCTTCAATCCTTTTAAACATCGTGTTTCTCTCATATTTTATGAACGGCACATATTTTCTCCGTATCTTGGCGTCCAGCGCCAGATTCACCTCCATGTCCTCCTTTTTGACATCTTCTCGCCGGATCGTTACGTGCTTGTGGGCGTATGTGAGGTGCACAACAGAGACCATGTCCTTTACGAATGGGTGTAGTTTGTGTGCGTTGAAGGTGTCTATGAGTTTTTGTGCCGTGGGGAATGGCAGAGTGTGTGCGTTGAGGTGCAGCTTGTTGGAAGTGAGCTTCACTTTTATACGCATCGTGGAGGGGTATGAAAAAAATGTGGAGATGCTCTTGTGGCGGTGCATGGCAGCAAGGGGCGTAGCACTTAAGGAGGTGCAGCTACGAATGAATGGTGCTCTTGTGGCGGTGCAATAAAGCGTAGCACTGATAAACAGCAGCATGCGAAGTGAACAAGTAAAACGGGTGAAGCACCAAATAAATGCGCACTAACGAACGAATAGAATGGTCATTGATGAAAAAACGAGCAACGAACAAACGCAAAGATGCTCGTAACCGAGAATGCACGAACAATACGTGATGGTACCGTGAAATGGTACGATAATTGAGCAATGCAACGCTTAAATGCGGCAAAGGTGGAACGGAGGAAGAAATAAATACGCAAGCATGGGTAGGACCGTGCCGTACGTACCACGGCAAATTTACCTGTGCATGCTGCCATGGTAAGCGGCAATATTGCTAGCAGCATTCATGTGGAGAAGAAGCTGCGGTATTGAAAGTTGATCACAGGTGCACATCGTAACAAGGAAACGATGGAATTGTAGTGGTGCGTGTTATTCGTTGGCGTAGAGCAATTCGATGCGGTAAAACACGGTGAACATGCCACGCAATACGATACGTTCAAGGGTACCGATAAGCAATGCTAAGCTAGGCGGGCTGGAGTGAAAGGCACTTCCCTTTAAAATACGATCTGGTACGCCGTAAATGTGGAAGTGCGTTAACCACGTTTAATTCTCTTGGTCACGATTTGATACGCTTATCGAGCAATTGCGGTGTGCTGTTTTTAATACCGTTTTTTTGCTTTTACTGCTTGGTGAATTAAATTTATTATTTTTGTCACGGATGCTTCGTTTATTTAGCGTGAACAGATGCTGATTTTAACAGGTGTACCGAATCAAGTACTATAAAATGGCAGGGTGGTAATTAACGGACTTGTAAAAAGATGATCCTGCAGGGTACGATGTGCCTCAGGCATTATTTTTATACACCTCAGAATCGCATGTACCGTCCAATACAGGGAATAGTGTGCCTGTGCACCGGTGCTGTTCAATCATGGATAGCATTTCTCATTCGTTTGAAGGGATGGATAACGTTACTACTGCATTTTTACCGCCCGATTGTCCTGTGTTGTATGCTATTCCCTCTCATTCACTCTTGATCATTTGTTGTGCTGTTCTCATCGCTTCATTCCTTGGTCTACTTCATGTCTGCCGATTTCTTGACCGTTCCACTCCCTGTATTCTGTGTTTCCAAGTCGTGCTCTTGAAATGCATCCTTAGTCCGTGTTACTGGCCTATGCTCGTAAATCACGCCCTGCTATTCTGCCAGCAGAACAAAACAGAGAACATGGGCACCCCTCAATGACAATAAACATCAAGGACATCGTTTCCGCACGCTTCCAAAATCCAAAGTTTCAGTACGACGGCAAGCGCATGCGCAACCTGGCCGTACGAAAAGCACTCGACTACTCAAAATATGTTCTGCCCCTTTCTCTCGACGTGCCGCACACCACAATATTTCACAGGCACGCCGAACACGTAAGCATAAACAAGATGCGCTGTCCGATCAACATTGTTCGATTCACGCCGGACGGCCGGAGACTGATAAGCGGCACATCAACCGGCGAGTTCACGCTCTGGAACTCGTTCTCGTTCAACTTTGAGACTATTCTGCAGGCACACGAGAGCCCGGTGAGGGGCTTAGAATTTACGCGGCTCGGCGATCTGCTGCTGTCCGCGGATACCACGGGCACCGTAAAGTTTTGGCATCTGAGTATGAACAATGTGGGCATTAGACAGTGCCATGAGGAGGCGATACGTGACATGTCGGTCGCTGACAACTATTTCGTGACTGCCAGCGATGATTCAACGGTTCGCGTGCACAATTTCGAGAAGAACGAGTGCATGATATTGCGTGGACATAATTGGGACGTGCGGGTTGCGCAGTACAATCCTAGGAGCTCGCTCGTGGCAAGCGGTGGCAAAGACAATCTGGTCAAGCTGTGGGATACGCGCACAAAGAGATGTGTGGCTACAATGCACTGCCACAAGAACACTGTGCTGTGTGCGCGCTGGATCGATGACATGAACCTGCTCACCGCCGGAAAGGATCAGGTCATAAAGCAGAGCGAGCTAAGAATGCTTAAGGACAATTTTACGTACAAATGCAAGAAAGAGGTGACTGCGTTATGTGTTATGAACAGGTGCATGGACAGCAGCGGCATTCGCAGTGCCAGATCAGCAAATTTTTTGTGCAACTCCGAGATGCGCGGCGATCTGTTCGCGGCTGGCATGGCCGATGGATCGATCGCACATCTCCAGGTATTCAACCAGAACATGAGCGTGGTTAGCGGACATGAAAGCACGGTGTGGAGCATCGATTATCATCCTATCGGGCACCTCATGGCGAGCGGATCGATGGACCAGAGCGTGCGTTTCTGGTCATGGAGAAAGAAGGAAGTGAGTGAAGAGGTCGAGAATAACGAAGAAAGAATACCTGGACTGTGCTATTAGCGTGCTTTTGCAACAATATGTGGTTGATGTCACAGAGATAGCGATTTCGTTTTTACTACATTTCTATTTTACTGCATACAATGTTCTAATAGCTGTTCGTTTATAAAGCTGTCCAAGCAATAACGTCTTCCCTTTCATTCCTATTTATACTCTTTTAGCATGATCTATAGATTTCTTGTGTATGAACGGCAAGATTATTCGTAAAATTGGCGGAACATGGTCTTTAGTATCTCTATTGCCCAATTTATCATGTGTTTTGCAGTTTTAACGATGAAATGTCTATCAAGGCATCTTTGATCAATTATTATAAAAATTATTTTGCTATATTTTACCGTAGTTAATAATAAACTACTGTTCATCTTTTCGAATTTCTTTGGCCCGGTAATATTACATAGTGTGTACTGCATGTAACATACTCCCCTTTCAGCCGCAACTGTGTTAGAAGCACCAAAAATTCGTTTTTCTATGCACTCCACACATCACGAGTTAGGTTCCGTGTCTCGCAGCATGCAAACCATCAAAATATTCAAAATCAAAGCATTTACACGATTATACGAACAGTTTTATTATAATTATCTCTAAAAATGACTGCATTTATCGTTATACATGCTATTTCAAACTTTGCTCCTTTTTACTCGAATATATTTCTTTCTCCAAACATGTTTTTCAGGTCTTCAACTTATGCCTCATAAACTTATTACAACAAAATAATCATAGTATTGGAATAACCAGTATGGCGATTTACTCCCCGTATAATACCCGTTCTCTAACAATTTGATAACTTACCGTCCTCGTTTAAATATTTCCATGTTACAATCTATGTATCTCATCCTGTGATAAAACACAACTTTCACGTTTATTTGGTGCAAATTATATACACGGTGATGGCATCATCATTGTAAGTGACCAAGTCATGTCGAAAGCAGGTGGTAAGCAAACACCTTAATACCAATAAAAGACGATTAGTTGTCTTAACAAAAATGGACTCCTAGTTTCTTTTAAGGAAATAAGACATTAATATTTCGTTTCTGGTGCGTGATGAGAAGTTGAACATCTTAGTTGACTCTTGGAGACGGTTTCAGTATCAATATGTATAAAAGACACGGTTTTCTCTCGATTTTCGTCACTAATAAAGAGTTTGTTCGTTATTAGCTATATTTAGTCTGCTTGTTGTTTCAATCCTGCTGCATAGCAGCATAATACACCTTCTGTAATAAGCTGCATGCTCATTTATCACCATACTATTCTTACGAACATATTCTCCGTGCTTCCATGAGATAAGAATTTTTTAACATCTACTTGAAAAGCTGGAACTAATGAAAACAGCTAGAAAAATGTGTGAATAGCAACCGTAAAGAAAGAACAAGTATTTCAAAATGGTTACTAAAGAGGTTCTTGTATGTAATATTGGCATAAGAAGGCAAGGCAACAAAACAGACCACCATAACTTTGTTTATTTATATAAACAAATCAACACAACTCATTAAATATTAACAAGAAACAAATCATGATCAGAATGGTGTCCAAGCTCTTTTATTTGCTGTATATTTACCTTAGTACTTATAAAATAAACTACACATCGTTGTTACTTCTTGTAAGTTGTGAGGTATGTGCAATGGTGCTGTAATGTGCTGAGTGTGAGACAAAAACTAGCACCAACAAACATGTTTGTATCCAAAAACGCAATATTAGCTTCATCATCCGATTTTCCAGGATAAAAACACGTGATGTTAACCCGGTGCTATCCAATACCGGTAATTCAATTAGTTTGTTCTCGTTTTCTCGTCATATCTAGCATTTATTTGTAATTTTAGTGTGCTATGATAGTGAGTATGAATAGAATGCCTCATAAGGTAATATTCATTGAAAGTATACAGTTTGTTAAAAAAGCTGATGAATTAAAACCAAAACTCGTTAATTTTCAAGGTATTATGCTCATGCCCAAATGTTATATATTGTATTTTTATTATTCTTACGCATTTTTGTAGACATAGCTGAACAAAAACAAAATCATGCCAGTCTAAGTACCAAATATGTATAAGCATTAAGATCAGCATATAACAAACAAAATTTCGAAAAGGGATTAATGCAGCGATTTTCAAGGTATAAATACGAATTCGATTCCTTTCCCTTATGTTCGTTGTAAAAAACTTGATAGCGTTTTACGAAAGTCTGGCGACCAGAGAGTCAACAAAGCCAGCAAAAATAAACAAAAGGGGCGACAATACAACTAAATTAGTTGAGCTGTATGACAGCCAAGCGATGGCCAATATAAAAAAAGGGACGGCCTACGACAGCTTTAAGGCCGGTAGGAGGACAACAAAGGTGGGGGCGAGACAAATAGATGCCCATGTTGTTGTTTCACTCGATCAGCCGATGCTGGTTGAGTGCCGGGACGCAGTGGAGATAGATAACCCACCAGAACAAATGAGGAGTGGGTGTAAGGATCGTGAGTTGGTGAAAGAAATTGTATGTAGTGATACAATTGCGGTGAAACCCTGTAAAAAGCGTGTCAATTTCGATATAGCACTTAACAAAGTGCATGTTTATGAAAAAGTCGAATGGGTGGATTGAAAATAAAGATTATTATAGAATTTTATGTTTATTTTACCATCAAGCCTAATATATCAAAAATTATAAAGCGGTTATCATACCATGGTAAAATATTTAAAGAATACTTTAAATTAAAAGATTGATGATCCTATGTAATGCAGGAAAATTTGTGTGCACCTGGTACGAATTATATCTCCGCATAATAGCTGATGCAATTACACGTAGTACGCCGCCAGTATACGGCATGATTAAGAGTCATGACAAGTGAACGAGTATTTTAACATCTTACCGTGTTCATTCTTAGTAAAACTGCAGTTTTACTCCAATTCTGCGTACCCATTCCGTTTGTCCTGAAATAAGTGGTGCAGTAGGTAAATATCACGAATATAAACGGAAATCCAACATAACAAGATCTTACAATCTGTGTTTTACATTAATTGCATACATTTCATATCAACATTTCGTTAAATCTTGCATTGAAACATCTTATAGCACTTCTCACAGTTTCGTTCGATCATAACATGTTCTTACTAAATACTTATTTCTTATCACGTGTCAACACATCTCTCATAACATTATATTGCTCTCCTTTTTCTATTATTAGTGTACAACCTATTCGCTCAAAACTTCCTTTTTAAATAGCTCTCCGTTATTTTTCTAGCTGAAATGCCAATCTACTTATCATTCATTCCGACTATTTCCTTTAAACATCATCTCGTTGGTAAACGGTACCTTTTTAGGAATGTGCTGGTTTACCTAAACAGTCTTCCTCGCTTTCTCTACCAATAAATATTTGTTCAGTCCTTTACACCAGATCAATAAAACGGTGCGAGATTGCTTAGCGAGACAGGCTTTTTAAAACAAGTTTAGTGCATATTTAAGTACCTTTACAACAAAATACTCTCATCCCATACCAATTACATACGTTTATGTGTGATATACGGTGTAACTGTGTTCTTAATCCGTGTTTTTGTATTTCTTCCTTTTTTACTAAAAGCACATTTATTTTTTTCGCTTCACTTTCCCAACAAAACCTTCTGTTCTACTAGTAGTTCATCCTTGCCACGTATTTTCTTCGGTACACGTTTGGCAGTGCAGCAAAATCCTTTTTACGATAAATCGTGTGTTATACAGGGCCAGAATTAATTACTGATAAATTGCAGTACCTAGGTCATATCCTGTCACTGTGATGGAATTAATTTTCTGTAATTGTCGTACAAGAGGTAATTTCGTAGTTAAAGCATGTTTTTAGTAAAAAATGGATTTGTTCAGGCTTTGATGAGTAATAAACGTACTTTTTATGGGCAATAAACGATTTGAGGGGAAGAATTCGAAATTAATAAATTGAGATAGGAAATGATAGATTGCAGTGCATCTTACGTATCGTAATTTACTTGATATACAAGACGTACCTAGCATGCGGTGATACTTCACTACGTTTGGTTTAATGTACGATGGAGCAAACAGCTCAATACCACATTAAGATGTGCCTTGAAAATGTTAAATGCGGTAAATTTAAACTATAGGAATGTCAGGTGCCCTTCCACACTTGTACCAGGTATAACACCCGCAACATTTTTTTGGTGAAAGAAAATCACTTAATTAGATCGTCTGCACATCGGCACTTCGCTGCAGCCCGTAAGATACGAGCACACCACCCATTTGCAAGCACGCCGTCGTTCACATCACCCTTCAAACCCGTACTCCACCCCATTCTTACCAATCCATAGGTCATTTCCATCCCAATCACCATCATTTCTCCTTTACACCCGTCCAATCAGAACATTGGCACAATCCACGACATAATTTGTCCGTTAGCCCACATAAAAACCAAAAAGCGTTCCGCACTTCAAAATCATGTCCAACAAGACATTCGCAGGCGTACGCCTGCTCAACCATCTCCTAGTGATTTTGCAGCTGCTGGCATGCATAGCTCTCATAGCAATACGCGTGTGCTTTGCGGACTATTTCAGCGTAGAAGAAGTGTTAGGCATTGGCGGCATGCCGATGCGTGCCGTGCTTATCATCACCGCCTTCTTGAATCTCATTATTCCGTTCTTCGGTGCATGTGTGATCGACTCGAAACTGCGCCTCTATATGCGCATCTTTCTGGTGTACGATACGCTCAGCATCCTGATCAACGGCATGTCGTTGCTGTACGTGTATGAAATGTACGTAAATATCTTTGAGAAGGAATTCAGCAAGCTTATAACACAGAACCAAGGCAACCGAATGTATATTGAGAACACGTACAACTGCTCGGACACGTCTGATGTAACGTGCATACAGCTCTTTACGGACTATCTCAAGGGAGTGCAGCGGTACTATGTTTTGGTGGTGGGCACGATACTCCTGCTTAACGTGGTTATGTGGATACTTGTGCGGATTGCCCTCTCTCTTGATCTTAAGGGCAAGAGAGTGAGAGTTCCAAAGATTAAGAAGCAGAAGGTAGGATTCTCTACGGGATCGCTGAGAAACAAGAGATTGGTGCCTGTGAACAACAGTCCACCCGATTCTATTGCTGGTGATGCGAGCAGATAAGGGGAATGTGTGTGGGTAAGGATCAAAATGAACAGGTTTAACAAAAAAAAAGAAATTTAAAATAGAAGGAAGAAAGTAGAAAGAGATTTACAATGCCGAATTAAAACACCAATCGGAAGGAAATAAAAAATAAAATGCGATTAAAATAAAAATAGAGCTGCCGTGCTAAAATTTTTAGCGTGCGCATATCAAAATATGTTTTACTTTATTTTCATTGTACCACCGTAGAGCACGCATCACTTCTGTAAAATTTCTTCTATCTCACTCCTCAACAGAACCAACTCCATTTCAACTGCTGTTCTCATTTCTGCCCATCTCAAACTCACACTCTCGGTACGTTCATCACTCACGTTCTCCTTCTTTCCGTTTATTTCGTTTCTGATCATCCCCTTACGTTTTGCCCCTCGCTCCTCAGCCAGCCCCCATGCTTCTCTTTGCCCATCCACCCCATTTGCTACTCTTCCCGCACATTCCCATTCACCAACCATCCTTACCATATCCACCAACCCAATCATATCCTCACACTCTCCAACCAGCCTTTCATACCTGATCTTAACCCCCTCAACACCTTTTAACCTTGACTGCGTGGTACTAACGCTCATATCATCCATCTCCACTTCTTTCATCCTTTCATACTTGACCCTCAGTTTTACCACCTTGTCTTTCATCCGCACCATCTCATCGATCCTACCGTGCAGATACGCCCTGCACCCCTCCATGAGTGCGGTATGCACCGCTTTGCTCACGCGCTTATGATCAGCATACACCTTAAACGCCTCACACACCCGTTCACATCGTAGCAGCAACGCAATGCTCTCGTTCGTTTTACCTACCTGTGCGTAATACGCTGCCCTAACATTATCGGTCATCCGCAGCTCGTCATCCTCATCTATGTAACGTACTATTTCGTGCCAGAGCACGTTTATGTGCTCTTTAGCGTATTTTATACTTTCATGCGCATCAAACCGTTTTATTATTTCGTACGCCCTCTGCCCCTTGTAAAACGGTAGTGCCAATTTGTAGAACTGTCTGTGCTGTGCTGCAATTTCATATAATTTGTATTTTGTGATGTACTGCTCCCTCAGTTTATCGCTGGTCAGGCTTATTCTGTCGATACACTCTGCCAGGCTGTTTGTACGCTGTTCAAGTTCCTTACCGTTCGATGATGGAACGTGTTGGTGTTCTGTGTTCAGCCCGTGTTGATCGCTCTTTACAGCGCGGTTCAGCCCGTCTCCCCGGTCCTCATCACCGCACCCTTTTACTTCTACACGTCTCTTCAGCCCGTCTCCCCGGTCCTCATCACCGCACCCTTTTACTTCTACACGTCTCTTCAGCCCGTCTCCCCGGTCCTCATCACCGCACCCTTTTACTTCTACACGTCTCTTCAGCCCGTCTCCCCGGTCCTCATCACCGCACCCTTTTACTTCTACACGTCTCTTCAGCCCATTTCTCCGGTCCTCATCACCGCACCCTTTTACTTCTACACGTCTCTTCAGCCCATCTCCCCGGTCCTCATCACCAATGCAATAAAACGCACGCTCATACATGCCAAGGTAGTCATAAACAAAGAACCGTACATTACTTTCATCCACACTTACCTTAATATTCAACTCTTCCTTCAATTTTTCTATGAACTTGATATCAAACAGAAGTAGCCCCCTTCTAAACACCTCATCATCCGTGTACTCCTTCCTTACAATGTGCAAAAGATCAATCCGTTCCGTATTTCGTATCGTTTGCAGGGCGTGTAGCGGTAATTTGCATTTTAGAAATATTTTGGTGGTGAGCACGGGATCGTTTAGAGCAATGAAATGGTTGATGAATGAGGATGGAGTGATCGGTGCACCGCCGTTTGATGACGGGCATGAAGCACTGCAATTGGCCGGTAGCGCATCATTAGCACCATTTCTTGCGATACCGGTGCTATCGATTGCATCATCCTGCACACACTCATCCTCATCAATACGCATCTGCAGACCGTCCCATATCTTGCAGAAGTTTTCGTACGTCCTTTCCACCCCGTAAATATTCTTAAAATTGGTGTACTCCACGTTTTTGCACCTCAAAGTGCTCAGCACCTCGTTTATATCATCCTGCTCGTCTAACGCCTTCTTTATGAGGTACGGCAGGTCCAGTCCTTCTAAATTACCGTATGTGGACAGAAGAACGGAGTGTTTGAATACGTGCAGTATTTTCGTTTTGGTGTGCAATTTTACGCTTAGTACCCGTTCATAATGAGCAAGGGCTCCGCTCGTGTGCGAATAGCGGCTTGCATCAGTGCTTGCTCTTGCACTGCTGTTGCAATCGATGCTACATCCGCTGTGTTTTCCTTCATTGTGCTCGTTCTCATCACATCCTCTCGCATTTCTCCTTTTATAAACATGCAATTCCCCTTTTATTATGAACAGCTCGTCCTGCACGATAAAATCCTGCACCTCCAAACCTTCTCTACCCCCCACAACGTACATCACACCGTTTATCATGAACAGATCCTTGCTTAACCTGAAATTGTGAACCAATCGGTAACTGCAAACAGGTGCAAACACGGCACTGCCAGCATTACCATTCATGCTGTGCCGTGTACCGCTATGCGCGTGCATCTCCCTGTTTGCACATCTTTTCCCTTCGTGTGTGCCAAATCTGCACAAATCACCGTTTACCGTTAATAAAAGGCCGTTATCCAAAATTTTGAACACATGCACATCAAAGACAAGGCATCCATCGCAGGTGTACACTTTGGAGTACGTTCTGTTCTTTTTGAGATCGGTAATGTTTTTGATGATGAACAGCGTGTCATCAGCGTATGACATGCGGTATTGCGCTATCGTACTGCTATTGCACGTGCTATTCTCTTTTTTACTTCTTTCCGTGTTTTGATCACCATTTTTAGCCCTATGTCTATGCACGCACTCATTTTTATCATTTTTGGTTACATCGCCCGTACTTTTCTCCTTCTTTGTTGCGCTTCCCGTCGTATTTTGGTTATTTTTCTCATTCCTCTCCTCATTCCTCTCCTCATTCCTCTCCTCATTCCTCTCCTCATTCCTCTCCTCATTCCTCTCCTCATTCCTCTCCTCATTCCTCTCCTCATTCCTCTCCTCATTCTCCACCTCATTCCTCTCCTCATCCGCAATCATAAAAATCCGCTCTCCATTCACATACACATGTCCATCCCTCATCCACCCAATTCGTCCATTCCATCCACAGCACGCATCAACCCCCTCAATTCTCCAATGATAGAACGGCAAAGGCACTCTTCCCCTCCCATAATCACTCACAACAACATCATCACCATCCACAAACACCAACACGCCATCACTCACCGCACACTCCCTCACAATCCCTATCACGTACTCATATCCATTGCTCACCAGCACTATCGTGTCCTTATCGGTGTGCACGAGTGTGCCGTATTTAGGAATGCTTGCTTTCCGATAGATCGCGCCGTTGAGCCGTACGTATACGCTCAGCGTATCGGTGGTTGTAACGATTATCACATCATCGTGGACACGTATGCCCGTAATGTTTGGTATTTTGTACTTTGATTCGATGTACACGAGGTGAGTGGACGTGCTGTAGATCAAATCGTTGTGAACTGCGCTCACATCCCGCAACACCTTCACTTTTTGTAGATTATGCGTGTAAACGGTGCATGCACCATTTTTGAGCACGTAGATGAACTGCTCACACACGTGCAACGATGCAACGGGCCTTTGGCCCGTACTGCGGTTGCTTGCGCTCTTCTTGCCGATCGATAAAGGGTTTTTAGTAGGTGCACTCACCGTTTCATCGTGAGGCGTACTGCTACAGCACTGCACACCTCCCTGTTTAACCTTCATATGCTCACACTGTCCCATGCCACGGTCCTCTCTCGTGCTGTAGCCACCAATACCGGTGTTCCTCTTCATTTTGTTCTCATCCGTTCTTTTCACCACGTTTTCTACTCTGCTGTCCCCTGCACAACAGTGCCTTACTTCATCAACTCTGGTACGGCTGCACTTTGCGCCATCATTTCCCAGATCAACTGATCGCGTTCTACTCCCTTCCACATTACGAGATCTTGTCCGATCGTTCTTTACCCCATCTGATCTCACTGCTCCATCCATTTCCACTCCATCCTTTTCCACTCCATCCATTTCCACTCCATCCTTTTCCACTCCATCCTTTTCCACTCCATCCATTTCCACTCCATCCTTTTCCACTCCATCCTTTTCCACTCCATCCTTTTCCACTCCATCCTTTTCCACTCCATCCTTTTCCACTCCATCGCATTCCTCATCACGCCCTATCCCATCCTCATCATTCCACTCCCTCCTACAAACCACGTTAAAGTACCTGTCCAACACAACAACACCATCCCCACTCAACACAACAACGCATCTCCCGCTCACCTCCACATCCCATACATCCCCAATCTCTATTTCCCTAAACACCTTCCCATCCTTCTTCCCAACCAGACACATCCTGCCTTGTTCTACCAGCAAATGGTAATACGGCAGATTTATTATGCGGTTGATCGTGTGGGTGGTGTTCGTTTGGTACGTTGTGAATGTCTTGGTGAAGGGCGGTGCGCTGATTTGGTGTGGATGCTTGATGAGCAAGTGGATGTTGAACATCTGGATGGGTCGCAAAAAATGGAAATATGTTGGATGGGTCATAAAAAGCGGGGATGGACCGATATGGGGTGGAAGTGTGAGCACCGCAAGAGTACTGCCGGCAGCGAACGTGATTCATGCGCACGACACGTTTTTTATATTTTGGTGCAGGGAAATAAAAAGGTGTACGACGGGCAGACAGACCGAAAAAACGTGCAGAGGAGTGTTTTTGCGATTTAAAACGCTGTGCACAAGCACCAACGTATTTATACGCTGCGATGACCGCCCACGCTTTTTCTTATCATCCCTGCCGAGTAATCCCTGCCTTCGCCCGCTGCTACCACGTTTTGCCCAGTCCATGATCATGCAAAGCATGCGTGTGCATAAAAGTGGCGTGGCCATGAACGAACACACTTTTTGAAGAAGCGCTGACCATCGCCACAGCAATTTTAAAAAATTTTTGCAAATTACCCCACCCCACATGCAGGCACAGTACGCATTCGTAAAACAGCACCTCCTCAAAGACACGCTCTCAGCACTCGGCAAGTTTGTATCGCACCGGCGTGCTCAGCGTCGCCTCCATCCAAGCGAGTGTCTGGTACGCGTAGATCATGTGCACTCGAAAGACGAGGCACAGAAGTATGTTGGCAACGAGGTTGAGCTGTTCAAGATGTACGTGAAGGACTCTAACAACGTGGTTAAGAGCGTGAAGGGACGGGTTGTTAAGGTGCATGGGCGTAGAGGAGTGGTAATTTGCAGGTTTGATAGGAATTTGTCGCCCACCGAGATCAACACGAGGGTGTATGTCAAGCTGTGTAAGGCGGAGGAGTACGAGTAAGAGAAATAAACGATATTTTATCAGTTGTTGGGAGTGATCGGTTCAACAGCGGTTGATGCGCTGTGATGGGCAGTTTGAGGAGATGACCAAGTTGTTTTATTTCTATGACCGCACACGGCTGCCCTGTTATGATTGTTTTGGCCGGTAGGGATGTTTCGTTATTTTATGCATCACAGACAGCGCATTTTCTCGGCTTGCTTTGATCACCGGTTCACGGCCATGCGGGCCGCGAATTTCTCTTGGATCTACAAACGGTCAGGCTTTGGATGTCCAACCGATGAAAAACGCGCACCAACGTACAAAACAAATTTAACGTGCCGCCGTGCACGAGCAGTACGTCTGAAGCGAGATACGTTGACCACAGCAAATGCTCTGTCTTACGTTTAACACGCAATGCCTCGTTCAGCAACACCCATATTTTTATTCTTCAAAGACCAATAAAACGGGTGCTTCTCACGAATTACGAAAAACTTTTTATTTAAATGGCACAAATTACACAACATTTTGCACTGCCTCACTTTCCAGCGCCTCCAACCCCTTCAAAAAAGTGTTTAACAGTGCTCGTGCTTTCTCGGCGTATTTTCTGTCCTTCTTTGCAAGTCGTTCACAGAACTCTTTTATGTCCTCTGAACCGTAATAAAGCGCCATTTCTACTTCGTTCTCAAGTTTGGGCGTGATGACCAGTTTTGCATTTTCGGCATTGGCAGGAACAGCCTCTTCAGAGACCGCAGGATTAGATCGCACAACGTTATCACCACCTGATGCCAAGGATTCGGCATTTGGAACTGCGTGCCTATCCAAATGTTTCTCCTGTGTTTCAGGTGCTGGGTTTGCTTCGAGTTCAGGGCTTTCTTCAGAAACTGCTTTAGATTGCTCCGTAGATGCTGGTTCGTCGTCATGCTTGGGCATCGGCTTGGTCTCATCTGCAGACTGTAGCTCGCCAGATTCGATCGTTGTCTCTGGCTTCTTCTCCAATTCCTGTACTTTTTCGAGCTGAGAATCGCTTTCTTGCGCCTTTTCTGATGCAGCGGCATCCTCATCATTCTTGGGTTCAACGTCGTTCTTCTCATCTTCATCCTTCTTGGGTTCAACGTCGTTCTTCTCATCTTCATCCTTCTTGGGTTCAACATCCTTCTCATCTTCATCATTCTTGGGTTCAACGTCGTTCTTCTCATCCTCATCCTTCTTGGGTTCAACATCCTTCTCATCCTCAACATTCTTGGGTTCAACATCCTTCTCATCCTCAACATTCTCATCCTCATCCTTCTTAGCCTCATCATTCTGCTTCGAATCCAATTCCGATGTGCTCTCCTCTTTCCTTTTTCTTTCAGCCGCAATCGTTTTGAATGGGAAGCTTCTAATCTCACTCATAAATCCGTTCATATCGAACTCTGCATCACCGTTGAAAAGCTCATCGGTGTCATAGTCAATAACGTACATCTCACCGGTGCTGCTGGCATCATCATCCTCGTACGCGTAGTCCTGCGGATCACAGTTGTTGAAATCGGAGCATGGCATCAATCCACTGCACTTGTCCTCAACACAAACATCATTTTCAATAGCACTCTGGTCATCTTCTTCTGTTCCGTGTTCTTCGGCGTGTCCTCTTTCTGTGGTGAGCGATGCCTCTTCAATGGCAGCCTCATTTGCAGAATAGCATGTTACGGTAAGTAGCCCTGTGAGGAATAATACGGGAATGAACATTAATTGACATCTCTCCAACCGTTTAAATACTTTTTTGCTGATTAATTAAGTGATATGTTAAAAAATTATTTACATGTTGAAGCAATCTATCATGTTGATAGATTAGCAGCACAAGGTAAATAAAGCAAACGTGGTTTGTTACGTTTATTGCTGGTATTGATCGCATGAAGTATATCAAGAAAAGTAGCAAGCACCGTTTTGTATTTCTGATGGTGCTTGTTCTTAGACTTCAAGCGATTCTGTTCGCGTTTAGGGTCGCATACCGGTATGACGCACACGATTTATCGTGTATCTGATCTTTTATGGCGTGCTTCTTCGTTTTGATCACTTATCAAGCCTTCTCTAAACAATTTAATTGCCATAAATTGAACGGACGTCAAAGACACGTGTTTATGAACTGTTTACGTGTTCTATCCAGGCAGGTCTACCCATTCATTTAGCCTCAGCATATCACATCCGTGCTATGCACGCACCATCTCATCGATGCATTACCACGGCTGTTTTTGAGTGCCGCGTACTGTTTGGTACGTGGCAGCATAACCAGTGGTGAGCCTTTATAAAACAGTTATTTTATTATAACCGGGCCAGGCGCCTCTTCAGCATGTCTGTTGCACAGTTTAGATCAAGAACTGCCCGTAACTCAGAAAACAGAAAGGTGCGCCAAACCACCTAAGCGTAAAATACTTCATCATTCTTTTATTTTACTGTGATGTGCCCGTACAGCACCGATCGCACATTCTGCACGGCAAAAACAAAACGGTATTCGTTCACCTCGGTGAAGAACGCACGGCAAATAGAGTGCTATGCATGGTGTGTTCAACATGACCATTCGTACGCGATAAATTCAACAAATCTCATCCGGTCACTGATGATTATTGCAATTTATGGTGATCATTCTAATATTTAGGAAGGATCATACCTGATTTTTACCACGAAGCAATCGTTGCTTAGACGGTGCTGCAACAAATTGTGTAGCACAAAGAATGCATCCTGTGATTTGAGGACCAAATGTTGCGTTGTGGATTCTTTCATCGATACGGCACTGTGCGGTTAATTTTGGCAGTAACGTGTGAATTTGATTTGTGCACCTGATACGGTGCACAAATGCTTAATTTGAGCCGTAAAATTTCATAAACGAGTAGAAATTGATTTGGACCGCCCGTGCACACTAAAACACTGCGCCGTGTCACGCATCATCTGTGCTGCATCTTGGCTGCGCGTTAACTACGTGTGATCAAAACGACCAATTTAGCATTAATGCTGGACCGTTCCGTGCCCGCACCCATCAACGACATGTGCTGAGTGCAGCATTGCACGGCGACTTGATTGAATGGCATTCTGGCAGCGCATTACGGTGCCACCGTTTTCTCCTCAATGATATGCTACCTGCTGCAATTACAGAGTGTGTAAGAAAACTGAAGAGCATTCCGGGAAAAGCAGCGGTCTGTCAGATCTAGTGCAGGGATACACGCCGTAGAGTAGCGCAGTATCAGCATTAATTTCGTTTCGTGTGAACATGAAGACAACTCGGTGGATGATTGGTCAGTTGGTGAGCAAATCTGCAAATCTCTAAATTTTGCATAAAAAGAGTTAAAAACCGTTGTTCGATTCGTTTTTACCAGGACTAGCCTGGCCGTTCCTCACAAACAACATTGAAAAATGATTAGTGAACGAAAATTGGTTCTTAAATACTACCAAAAGATTTGAGCAGCTCAAAAAACACATCTTACGTATTGTAAAAGGATGTTATGTCATAGAAACAAATTTGGTGGCGTTTCCAAGCAGAAATAGCTTATCAGGTATATTCAAAGATTAAAACGATGTAATAGTACGTGATACGATATGCTGAACAGTTCTACAAAAAATTGTCTTTATGTAACACCAAATGCTATAATTCTTAGTTTTCGTATTAATTCCGTTTTTGAGTTCTCATCAATACGCGCTTTCACGTTGTTCATTGCTGTCGTACCGCACTGCTGTAGACTGCATTTTAAACAAAAGTAAAGATTGATGACTCTACTACGCACCAACACACGATGATTTATTGCTCCTACGTGGTCATACGTTCAATGACCTGTTTGATTTATTCTTCATGGTTGACCACCTCTCAGCGCAAACGTTCATTTAAACCATGTGCCCGATTTACGTCATAAGCAAAAATTACTCCGCACTGATAAATTAAAATGATGCAAGCACAAAGCACGATAAATGTGCGTGTATTCAAATGCATACTTCCTATGAACACCGAACCGTACTTATTTTGGCGTGCACAGCTCTGATGCGGCAATCCATCCCAACACGCAATTTACACATATCCCATCATTACGCCACAACAAACACTCAAAATGTAAACAATGCCGTGTATAAAATGGTTTGTTTATTTACACATCATGAACTGCGTTAGAAGACGGGCCATATGCACTCCTGTGAAAGAGCAAGCCAAAGAAACACGCAAGGCTGATACAAACGAAAGCGTATCGAACAAGTGTGCTGAGTTTCGCGTGCGATCGGTGGTGCTGTTCGAGCTTCTTGTGAGTTTGATGAAAAATTTGGTCTGTGTCCTGCTGTTCAACGGGGTAGAAGAGGAAACATCGTACGAAAAGAATGTAAGAACCGGTGTTCTGAGCGGAGATGCATCCGTTAATCGCAGTAGGTCAGTAAAGGGAACCTTAAAGGAAAGTATAAAAGCGGATAGAGGTGGACACCAAGCAAAGAAAAGCTATCTACATGAAACGAGCAATTACATGTGCTCGTTTTTTATGAGGCAATATGGTGTTTTACGGGGTCTTTTCAGCGTGCACTACAGGAAAACATCAATCTTAAGCAATGCTGCAACAATCATACTACCTTGCGTAAAGACCATCGCCTTAAAAGAGTTTCATCCAATATCCACCTATTTACTACACAACGTGCTGCTCTCTTTAACACTGAGGGCAACCGGTCTGCCTATGATTTGCCTTTTCTTGTACACACGAACAATTTCATATCTGCAGATATACTTTGCGCTCACGATCCTGATGCTGCTTTCGAAAGAAAAGGTCGTAACTATCCTGGCACAGACCTTTCTTGTGCTACATAGGTTCACACTGATAACACCTTTGCTGGTTCTGACAGCATGCAACATCGTTGAAAGTTACCTGAACAGGAAAAAAATGCACATTCTCTCTTTTGCGGTCATAGCTGTGCCTTTGCTTGCCTGCATGATGAAACACTTGCTCAACAGAGAGCAGTTTGAAGAAACCGACAAGTACGTGATTGATAGGGCAGTGGTAAGGATAAAAAATTACCATGGAGACGCGTTAGAGGGCACGTATGAAATTATCAAGGTGCACGAAGAGGATGACGATGAACCGGCAAAAGTAGATGAAGAGGAGCGCGAAACAAACGGTTACAAGATAGATGAGACGAACAACACGCGCTCAGATAGCGCGGAGAACAGAGATCTAAAGGGACTGGAGAAGAGAATTGTGGGCACGATACGTGGCGAAAATGACAATAGAGTTGGTGACAACACCAAAGATACTGGTAACAACGGGAGAGAAGGAATGAAGCTCGGGGACAACAAGGCAGACGAGGTTGGAGCGGAGAAAGAGCACGACGAGAAAAATCAAAAGAGTGAACAAAAACAGAATAAAAGTAACGGAGATAACAAACCGGACACTGCCAAGAAGGGCAGACGAGAACAAAAACATAACAACAACCCAGATTCGTTCATCAGGCAAAATGAACTAATTCGCTTAAAAAATATCGAAACATCGAAATTTATTTCATCAACAACGGACAAAGTCGACCAAAAGTTCCACAAAATTGAGATGAAAGACAGCAACGAGCAGAGTTTCAGTCTATGGCGGATCTCCAACACGAACAGAAACAAGGAGTACGTTACTGCACGTTCGTTCTTCAAGCTCAAAAACGCCAATACAAATTTGATGCTGGGCATTCGTTCTGATGGCATGCTTAATGGAAGCAATGAGAGCAAAATCACGAGGCAGACATTTATGATCACCGAGTGCACAAACCATGCGTACTATAAAATGGTGCAGGAGAGCGAAGACATGTTGCGAATGGCCAACGAAAAGACACAGGCACCCGATCGTGTATCTGAGATTCGCGTGGATTTGGCAGTTAATTTCATTGATTTTTTGAAGTTCTGTGTTATTGTATGTATTATGCTTCTCGGCTACGTGCTGTACAAGAGATATGACTTTGGTTGGTCTATGGACGAGAGCATCATAATATTCCTTGTCTTTCTGGGATGCAGCGTATTTCTGAGTACAGAATTTTTTGCTTACGTGCAATACCTCACCGTTCTGAAACTTACTAAACAGTTCATCGTTGGTATGAGAAGCTTCGTACGACCGTCCTTGCGTAAGGTGTAGATGCTTGCGATAATGTTTGTTGGTTCTTATGTTCAGTAAAAGTTTTAAAGTTTTTTAGAATTGGGCATTGCGGCTGCACTGATCATGTTTAACCACCTGTACCGTACAACACACAGGTCTACATAACCGTATATTCACGTGCTAGTAAAAATATAAATTTTACTTCGTAGCATTCCCAAAAGAACAGAATGCTGTTATTTGATCCGTTTTCAAGACATGCCCAGCCGTTCCTCACAAATTACGTTACAATCACATGGTTTTGAACTAGAATTGGTGTTTAAACCGTACCAAGAATTAAAAATAAGTGAGAAACGTAGCGTAGAAAGGGGAAGTACCGGTTTACAGGTGATCAAACGTTTTTGTATTTTACAAACGGAAATAGCAGGCTAGTACTTTAATCAACATCCAATCATTCCAAGCGATGTATTCCCTTTGTACACATCGTGATTACCCGAACGATCCCCGTGCAATTTTCTACCACCGCTCGTAACCACTGTGATAGGCTTTCAAACCTGTCACCGAAGGAATGGCAAATACGAAATGATTGAACATTTAATTCGTAATGGCATGTCAATCACACAGCATCGCTGCTGAGAGTGGTTATTACGCCCTGTCATGCCAATAACATATCTTTTATTTCTCATATCCGATCAAGTGCGGATCAGAAGATTAAAAAGGGCTGTTCATGAGGTGAATAACAGCTGAACGAGCGCGTTCTACCCATCTAAATTTAGCGATGCACTCAGCAGATAAATTTAATATTTTTGCACGAACACAATGCTAGCGGCACCGTAAACAACCATGCACGTTCATTTCCTCGTGTACGGTCCCTCGTTTTAACACGTTGCTCTTCCCAACAACCATTTCATCGGGTGTTGATCTGTGGGCCTAATAAAGGATTCTAACTGTCACAGGCAAAATGCGGTAAAACAAATTAAAACGCTAGCAAACGGACACGTCACAGCAGAGCAGATATAAGAGTGAAGTACGAATAGAACTGACCGTGCATCCATAACTTGACAACCAAGTCGGCTTGTGTGAGACTTGCAAATTATCAAAAGGAGAATATTCGAGGTATAAAAGAACGTGAGTGCCGTATTAACATGAAGAAATTGTGCCTATTCACCTGTATGATCATTCTTGAAGGCTTGTTTAGCGTTGTACACGGCTTTGGGTATTATGGCAGTGGTGGGAGCAGATCGCCATGCAGTACCTGCCAAAGAGGAAGTTCTCCTAGTTGCCCAAGAGGGGGTAGCTGTGGAGGAGGGCGCTCCAGTTGTGGAGGAGGTAGCTGTAGGGGAGGACGCTGTGGAGGAGGGCGTTCCAGCTGTGGAGGAGGTAGTTGTGGAGGCGGACGCTCCAGCTGTGGAGGAGGTAGCTGTGGTGGAGGCAGCTGTGGAGGAGGGAGTAAATCATAAGAACAAGATAAGTCAAATACTCAAATCAAAATAAAGTGCCATAAAATAAACAAAGTTACAAGTCGAATCGAACATCTCTCCTTCTTACACACGTTTGCTGTTGCTGCAACATTTTATGACAACAATTCGCATATTTCACCGCTATACCGGCATTTTCTTCGTTTTGTAATCAAAGCAGAAAGCGCATGCATCGCACCAGGGAACATTTGGTACATAAAAACACGGGGAACGTAACCGCAGCCACATCTACAAAGATACCGTGTGTAACACGCACCTTGAGCAAGGGATCAGCAAAAGAAGGCCATGGGAAGAACAAGCATGCCTTAACAAAACAGACCCTGCACCAGATTCCACAAAAACGCAGTAAACCAATGTCATTTATTCTCCCTTCCTTTTTTTAAACTTATCCATATAAAACGAGAGCTCGGCTCCTTCCAACAAATATCCATCAGCCGCACCATCCTGTCCAGGCCTCGATGTAATACGTGCATAATACGCACCCTCTTTAAATCCATCATCACCGCTCAGCACTTCCTTAAACCCCGTTCCATCGATCTTAACAATCGCAGATCGCGTGAGCGTGTTGGTCCTCATGAGCTCGTTGTTCGTCGGATGGTACATAACCTGCGCAATTGCGCACGACTTGGTCACATTCAGCGACTTGCATGTGAACGAGCCGCTGTTCAGCCGGAGGGCCCTGCGCTTTATGTTGCCGCCACGGACACGCATGGGCTTCACCTTGGTAGGGCCTATCTTGGTGTTTGAGGGCGCTCTGCCGCTGTTGTGCTTGCGCTTCTTCTCGTGCCTGCGCTTTTTGCCACCTGTTGCCTTTCTTTTGTGTGCGTTGCTGCGCGATATTCCCATTCGTAGGGCTAAAAAATTTTTGTATTTTTTGCAAATGCGGGCGTACACTGCGCGCGAACTGTGCAGGAACCTGGGCTGAGCGTACACCACACCCCAAGGTGCGGCATGTTGTAAAATGAAAAGAATGCGCTGTTAACTCGAATACGGGCAAAAAGTGCACGAACATGGAGAGCTCTTTATCAAAAAGGGCGGTGCTGGGATTCGAACCCAGGGCCTCCTGCACCCTAAGCAGACATCATACCACTAGACAACACCACCTAACGGCCCCTCGATTTTAGAACGGTATAAAACTGCACACATCAGAAATTAGCACGTTTTAGTGCACACCACGGTTCCGTGCACTGAATGGCCAACATCACCAGTTCATACCAAAAATGCTTCCTGCAGGACACGTTACGGCAACCCGGTCAAACACGCAATCCAAAATGCGGTGCAACAAATGCTCTCACTCATAAAAACAGCGAATCCGAGTGTCCACAACGAACCAAAATCATCAGCAATCACCATCAAACCTCGTGTACGGTCTGCTCAACACAATTCACTACAAAATCATAATTTTACTTATCGAGTATGCTATGACCGGAGTAGTCGTAGCTGTAGAGCATAGGATCAATCACATGAACCTTGCCATTCCTGTCCTTCAATCTCAGTTCGCGCTTATCGATGACGGCCATGCGCTCTCCGTTGTAATTCACGTACTCACACAAATCGTACGCATACAGCGGGTCACCGACCGAAAAGTACCTCTCAACAAACGCATGCGGCGTTATTTCCACGCCGGTAATTTCGCTCACCGTTTTGTACTTCGTGGTGCTGCAGCTGCGCTGGCACTCATCCACCGCCCCGTCTTCACTCTCGGTGCACCATTCGTGCTCATCAATACCGATGCATCCCTTGCACCCGGTCGTGCACGTACACGCATACCCCAGATTCACGCCAATGCCCACCACCGCATGCCCGCCAATCCTGTCGATCAAAGCACCGCACACCTTGTGCACCGCCACCCCATCGCTTACCAACACGTCATTCGGCCATTTGCAGCGTGCGTCTACGCCCAGGTCCTTCAAAACGTGCCGCACACGCCCTATCACATCGATGTATGCGATGCATGCCGGCGCAACGTAGGAGAATGAAAGTGAGCCGGTGAGCGAGAGCCACGTGTTGTTTGCACGGCCGATGCCGCGTGTCTGCAGCGTGGTTGCAACAACAGGGAGCGTGTCCCTGTACGTTGGCGGGCTGTTGATCAGGTACTTTTGGGTGGAAGAGATTGATTTGAACCATTTTATGTTCATGGGGTGCAAAACGCACCGTGCCAAAAACGGACATGGCACGGTGAGCGTGAAGAAAACAAAAATTGTTAAATTCATTTATTCATCACCTCACAGCACATTTTTAGTGCCTGTGCGTAGCCCAGCCCTCAGCCTGTTCCTACCCCTCTCTGCCCAGGATGCCATTTAAAGAGAACGGTAAAGTGCAATTACAATAAAAGAGTGTTCATCACACCGCTATTGCACCCTACGCATCCTCTCGCCCAGGTAATGTTATTTAAGTACTAGCAGTGCATTAATTGCCAAATTAATTTTAGTTATGTATCGATTGCCAGTGCTAGCAAATAATGCCAGTATTAGCAAATAATGCCAGTATTAGCAATGGTGCCAGTATTAGCAATGGTGCCAGTATTGCCACATCCTCAGGTACTGTCACATCCCCAATACTACTCACTCTCCAAATATTGCCACATCCTCAGGTACTGTCACATCCCCAAATATTGCCACATCCCCAATACTACTCACTCTCCAAATATTGCCACATCCTCAGGTACTGTCACATCCCCAAATATTGCCACATCCCCAATACTACTCACTCTCCAAATATTGCCACATCCTCAGGTACTGTCACATCCCCAATACCACACAATCCCAAAATATTGCCAAATACCCTACCCTTCTAATAACATTCCTTTATTTACTTAATCTCCTTAATACTCACCTCAAACCGCTCCTGCACCTCATTCAAAACCACAATGTCCTCCTCATTGCATATAAAACTGACAGCCGTACCTCGCGTCTCAAACCGACCGGCACGGCCAACCCTATGCAAGTAGGTCTGTGCATCCTCTGCCATATCATAGTTCACCACCAGGTTAATCTCTGCTATATCAATGCCACGTGCCATAAGATTGGTGGTCACCAAAAATCTGTAGTCAAGGTTCTTAAACGACATAAACCGCTGCATCCGCTCGTTCGTATCGTAATCGCTCGTTATGGACACGGCGGGCAGCCCCTTCGTCTTCAAGTGCTCGGCGAGCACCTCAACACGCCTCTTATCCCTGCAGAAGATCACGCACTGGCTGATGTCACGTATACCATCGATCAAGCCTATCAGCTTATCGCGTTTGCTGTCCTCAGCCACGTTCACGTACCCCTGCTCAAGGCCGTGCAGCGTCAACTTACGCTCCTCATCCACCTGCAGCACGAAAGGATTGCGCACCATCAGCAGGCACGTGTTCCTCATCTCATCGGAGAGCGTGGCCGTGAAAAGCATCGTCTGCTTGCCAACCGGTGTCTTGTAAATGATGCGCTGCACTGTCCACCGTGAAGAGAGCGATGACAGGATGCTGTCCACCTCATCGATGATAAGTATGCGCAGCTGCGACACGTCCAAGGCACCACGCACAATCAAATCAAACAGCCTGCCGGGCGTGCCCACCACCACATCAACCCTGCCCTTCAATTTTTCGATGTCTCCGTTCACATCCACACCGCCAAACACCATCTCAACGTTCAGGTCCGTGTAGCACATGAACCGCTTGAACTCGTTGGCAATCTGCACCACCATCTCCTTCGTGTTTGCTATTGCCACCACCTGAACACGTGCACACGTATCGTGCACCTCGCCCTCCTCCCTGCTGATGCGCTGCAGAGCGCTCAGCACGAACACAACGGTCTTGCCCGTTCCACTCTTAGCCTGGCACAGTATGTCTGCGCCCAGCACAGCCTTCGGTATTACCTGCTGCTGAACAGCAGAGGGATGTTCAAGGTTCGCGTCACGTATTGCTTTGATCAGCTCGTCCTTGAGCAGCAGCTCCGGGAATGAGGATATCACATCCGTATTTTTCGTTTTCTCCGTTTGCACAGTCTCAGCGTAATCGATCAGCTCCTCGTCAGACATTTTCTAAGGGGTCAACAAAATACGAAATAAAAAGTAAATATTTGTGCAAGGGGGATGGGCTGGAGAAAAGTACACGAACAGCTAGAAGAGCGCGATAAACAACGTATAGTACCACGCGCCTCACCAGCACGCAAGGTCACGCCCAATACCCATCACAGCAATAAAACACTTTAATAGCATGGCTATTCCTAGCTATGCACGTAGTTCACAATAAAACTTTAATTTACGCACGAAGTTAAAACTAAATTAACGCATTGCACAGCATTAAAAGCACTTCCCAATTTTAGGGTGGTACTCCACGGCATCTCTGTGAAATGCAGGAACGTAACGAAGTATTTTAATCCCACGTATTACAACGATGTGATAGCACAGTACGATTGTGGCACGGTATTAACGGGTGATGATTCAGGGTTATCTACGCAACTGATCAGCACATCATACCTGCTCATCTCCATCCCCTTTTTTCTTGTCATCCTCATCACGCCTTTTAGGACTGGCAGGCCCATACAACGGTGACACCCCTCCAGGAACATACCGCGTACTCGTAGGCGAATAGTACCGCACACTTGTAGGTGAGTACGAAGGATTGGCCCTCGAATAGTACTGCGGACTGCCAGCAGTGTACCCTGGATTGTACCGTGGACTGTCGGGCGAATACGTTGGGCTGGTTGGACTGTACCTCGAACTGCCGAGCGCATACTTCGCATTCATAGGCACGTACTTAGGACTGGTGGGCATGTAAGACGGTGATTTAGGGGAATACACCGGACTGGTCACGCGGCTGTATGTGGGACTGACCGGTGTGTACCTGGGCGTGTACCTGCTGGGGCTCAGCACGCCATCAGTACCGGTACCACTCTCGGGCGACCATAGCACGCCTTTATGCGCTGTGCTCACCGTGTGTTCAAACTCAAACGCCTTATCGCCCAGTGCATGCACATCAAGCAGCAGTTCCACGTTGCCCGTGCCCAGCGCAGCAATCTGCCCGCTCATCACGCTCTCACTTATCGTTCGCATGTTCGTATGCTCGGAGCCGGCAGCAGCATTCAAAAGGATCTCAACCGTTTCTTCAAACGTGCAGCGCATCAAGCAGCTGCTACCCTTCTTGTTAAAGCCGTGCCGAGTAATTCCCAGCAGCACGCCCGTGCTCGTCATTATGTCGCCGAGCAGCATTAAATGTCTCTGATTCACGTAACTGCCATCACTCTCAATCACCTTCTTAATTTCCTTTATCAGCACGTTACGAGCAGCCTCTATTCCCAGCACAGCGCATACCTCCATCAGATCGTTGCTGTAGCTGTCGGTGATGTACTCGTTGTGCAGTATTTCTATCAAATTGGTACCGCTTGTCTGCAACTTCCACTTTTTATTGTTATTTGCATCGGCAGTACTGCCCGTTCCACCATCCGTGCCCGCCTCATTCCCATCCGTGCCCTCCTCCTCAAGCAAATACACCCTACTGATCCCCTTAACACCACCTATCCGCACACCAACCACCCAATCCATAACCTTCCTAACCCTGCTATCATCACACTCCCCAACCATCCTCATCCGCATCACATAATCTGCCGCATTCTCATCGGTCATAACCACCTCAACATCAACACGCTCCTTGACCATCATTCGCAGCATCTCAAGCGTTACTCCAAGCTTAACCATCCTGTTCCTGCTCAGCTTTACGCGCAGCACCCACGGACTAAGATTGCACACCCGCTCCTCATCCGGAAACAGATAATGTGCACGCACGAACTCCTTGTCCTCCTCTATCAGCGTGTCCGTCACGTTAGGATCGTACACCACGGAGATGCTCTCTATCACGTGCTTGAACTCCTTGTACTCGATCGTGTTCTTCACCAGGTTGGCGTTCTTCAGATCGTTGTACTCGTTCTTGAGGGTGAGCAGCATGCTCGGCGTTTTTATGTTCTTTGCCACGTTGATCAGCTCTTTAAGACGGGGCACGCCCATCGTTATGGTGCTTGCTATGCCTGCATAGTGAAAGGTGTTGAGTGTCATCTGCGTGGCAGGCTCTCCTATGCTCTGACTCGCCAGCGTTCCCACCATCTCACCCGTGCACACCAATGCCCGGTAATACTTCTCACGTATTACGCTGCTCATCCTGATGAGTGTTCGCAGGTCAAGGCACCGCAATTTATCGCTCTTCAACTGCAAGTAGAAATTGAACACCCTGTTGGACGAGAACGTGAGCAATTCTCTCAGTACGCTCTCCTTGTCACGTGGTAAGGGCTGCGGTGTTGCGCTTGGCAGGGAGGAGGTGGGGGACGCGGCATAGGATGCATTGCTTGGCAGAGAAGATGCCGCGTTTGGTAAGGTGTGCGATGCCGTGGTGGAAGAAACGCTCGTGGCACCGATGTAATCGCTGATACGATGCTCCTCTTCACCTCCACCTCCATTGCACACCCCACCACCGCACACTCCCTCGTAAATACGCTCAAAATTGAACGGCAAGTAAAAATCACGCCCGCATATCTCAACACGCTCAACCCTGCTCCCATCAAACCCGTCATCACCGTACAGAAAACAAATTACATCCCTTTCGCTCCTCACACTGCCATCGAACGCAATTTGGCAGTTCTCCATGCTCTTTATCAGCCTTCGCTGGATGTACCCTGTCTCTGCGGTCTTAACCGCGGTATCGATCAGCCCTTCACGGCCCCCCATCGCATGAAAGAAGAATTCGTGCGCACGCAGACCGCCAAGGTACGAATTTTCCACGAATCCACGGCTCTGTGCACGGTCATCATCCCTGTGGAAATGTGGCAGCGTGCGCTGATTGCTGAATGCAATGCGGTGACCCTCCACGTTCTGCTGTCCCACGCACGCGGTCATCTGCGAAATGTTAATGAGCGAGCCTTTGCTGCCCGCCATCACCATCATGCGCACGTTGTTCGCCGTGCCCAGGCCATCGTTCGCACTGCTGCCGCTCACATCACGTGCCTTGTTGAGTGCCTGACCGATTCTGCTCTCGAACGTTTCGCGCAGGTTCATGCCGGGCATGCGCCGCAGCCTGCCGTTGCGCGCATCATCGATCAGCATGTTCACCTCGTTCTTGCTTGCCTGTATGCCCGCCGTCACGTCGCGTAGCGTGCGCTCGTCCGCAATTGTATCGCCCACACCCATCGTAAAGCCGCTCTGCAGCAGAAAGCCGTTCACCACGCGCTGCAGACCGTCGAAGAAGCGCACGATGTTTTTGTTCTCGAGCGCAAGTACGTGCACAAGGCTGCCCTGGCTCGTTCCCACCACCTTCTTGTCGATGCATCCCTTGATGAGTATGCCGTTCTTTATGAGAACGCTGTCCCGTTTGTAGTTTATGCGTGGCAGCGTGCAGGAGAACATTTGTTTGCCCGTGAACAATCGCCTTGGTCGCAGCACAGCCGGTCTGATCGTGGAAGCGTACGGGCCCTTGATCGTATTGCTGGCATCGATTGTGGTACTCATCCTATCCGCACGGTCAGTACCGGTATGATCCACCTCGTTTGCCATTCCTGTTCCGTTCATCATTTCTTCTATCGTTCTTGTCCTATCACCGATCTCACCGCTCAGCACATTCCTACCGATCTCACCGCTACCGCCCACGTAACCGTCACCCATCCTGTCGTAGCAACTGTCCACCATCACCTTGTACAACAGGTGCTGCCCCTCATACCACTCCACAAACACCCCATCATCGGTCATCTTCCTCACCCCAACCAGGCTGTCCTGCACGATGCCCATCACCGGCTTGTTACCCTGGCACGACAGCACATTCTTATCGACCCCGCAGATATTTTCGAGCTCAGCACGCGTGTTGTAGCTCTGCGGCATGTGCAGATTCATCTCATCGCCATCAAAATCGGCATTGTACGGCGACGTAACACTCAGATTGAGACGGAAAGTCTTTCCCTTCATGATACGCACTCGATGAGCCATCATGCTCATCTTGTGCAGCGAGGGCTGCCTGTTGAACAGCACCACATCGCCGTTCATCATGTGCCGCTCCACCACGCACCCCTCGGTCAGCAGGATGCTGTTGCGGTTGAAACGCAGATCGATGCGCTGGCCGTCCTCGCGCGTAACAAAATTGGCACCGGGCCATTTGTTCGGCCCGTTCCGCACAAGCACTTCGAGACGCGCCTTGTTGAACGACATGACCTGCTCAGGGAACGTGTGCACCTTGGCAATAGACTCGGGCACACCCACCTCGCACAGCGAGATGTTGCTGTCGGGTGATATCACGCTACGCGCACTGAAATCAACGCGCTTGCCCATCAGATTGCCTCTCACACGGCCCTCCTTGCCCTTGAGACGCGCACTCAGGCTCTTCAGCGGCCGACCGCTCTTTTGCAGGCTCTGCGGCAGGCCTGGTATATTGTTGTCCATGAGCGTTGCTACGTGGTACTGCAGAAGACTCTCATAGTCACGGATGATGTGCCCCGGCGCACCCTCCCGCTCGTACTTCGCCAGATTCGCATTTGCCTTCACAATGTCTGCCAGCTTGTGTGTGAGATCGTCCTCGCCACGCAACATGCCCTCGAGCACAACGCTCGGGCGCACTGCCGGCGGCGGCACGTTGAGCACACTGATGATCATCCATTCCGGACGAGCATACTTCTCGTCAAAGCCGAGTACCTCGCACTCCTCCGCACTGATGCGCTTGAAAACGGTGTGCACCCGCTCACCGTTCAGAATAACCTTGCCCTCCGTGTTGTCCTCGCCCTTGATAAACGCGATCAGCGACAGACCGTCCCGCTTTATGAGCGGCTGCTTTGATTGACAGTGCATACACTGTGTCTTGCCCTTGCACAGACCCCAGAAGTAGCTCAGGCCCTGCCTAAGCACGGCATCCTTGTGCTCCTTGTACACATCGTACGCCTTGATACGGCTGCAATAGAAACACACGGTCTCAAGCAGTTTCTTAATTTTGTTCATGTATCCCACGTGAAACACCGGCCGCGTAAGCTCAATGTGCCCGAAATGACCTACGCATGTCAGGTTGCTCTGTGCACACGTGGCACACAGGTACTGCCGCTCTGTCGTGCCCAGCCTGAGATCGATAAGACCGCCTTCTTTCGGTGCCTGGTTCGAAAGCGTCTCGGGATGGTCGATGCGCACGACCGAAGATGCGCGCAGCTCCTGCGGAGAGAAAAGACCGAACTGAATGCTTTTTATGCGTTTCTTTTGCAGTTGCATTTTTATGGGTGGCATAAATTCATTTTTTTTATTTTTTGTTTTGAAACACGCTGTAACACGATGGCATCCGCAGATGGCAGGCATCGGTGAGGAGCGCCGTTAAGGGCCAGACACGGTTTGATATTACGATTTTTATCACCTGGCACGCATAAACGATCAAAAATTAATTTTTTAAACGGTGCTGTTGGGTGTTTTATTTGATTTTTGCGGAAGGGCAATAAAAGCAAACAATCACCAACTTACCACACCGGCAAGGCAATGCTCATCGCTGACTCGCATCAAGAACAACCTTGCGGCTGCAAGGCACCACGGCAACACAAAAATACGACTGGGATGCGCTTAACGTTTCCTAATCACATGCAATAAACCAAGCACTTTATTGATGTATCTCAGCGGTCAGACTATCAATCTTCTTCTTCGCACACTTCAAGTTGCCCAGTCTTTTCCTTAAATACCTCTTTACCCTCTTATCCTGGCTCTTCTTGATCATATCCATGGCGCACAACTCGTAGGGAGCCCTTCCTACGATTTCCCTGACTATGTCTCGGGCGAAGAACGTCTTCTGTGATTTGGAGAAATCGAATTTCTTCGACTTGCGCGGGAACGGTGTTTTGACGGTCTTGTGGTGGAGCGAACGCGCTTTTTTGTTGAGGATCATCCGGGGGTCAAATTTTTTAGAATATTTTTTGGATCAGGGGCTTGTCCATTTCCTCACACAGCTGCACATGGACGAACACACTTTGCGCTGCGATCACGACGGGCTGTCAAACACGGCCAAATAAGTGTAGTGGCAGACCTGATGTAAATTTGGTTGCTACCACTTCGCGAATGGTGAGCCCATGCCAATGTAAAGCTCGTCCGTCTTAATGAAGGGTGCCACAGGCACATTCACCCGATCCGCACCACCACGTACAAAAATTCCCTACAAACGGTATTAAAAGACAGTGCACACCGTTTCGGTGTTGCCGGGCTCCTTCCAAGAAATGCGAGTTGCGCATGAAAAGGTGCACATCACATGCAGGGAACGCTGCGTTAAACATGCAGCCGCATGCCTGTGCCCTCATGCAGGCACAATGTTTTCGGTGAGTGCATTTCCTGCCATAGACCGCATACAGCGGTGAATCGCCACACCGGTTAAACCGCGCTTCATACGCACATCTTAATGGTACGTTCTCCTTCATTGAACACGTGCTCACACGTTCACATGCCATCCTCTCCATGATATTCGGATAAACACGTCCAATCAATCAACACCATCCCAAATTTACGCTTCTTGGTTTGTAATCCCAACTTTTACGCAATTCGTACCTCAAAGTGCAAATTACAGATTAATTTATCAGCACCGTGCAATTTTTCCTAAAACCGTAACTTTTTCTCCGCATTAATCACATTGTAGGAAAAATCAGGCTCATTAATTTTCATTGGTTCCTATCAGAAGTGCCCTGTGCAATGTACAAATGCATTTTGTGCTTTATTACGGGGTTTCTTGCAAAAAAATGTAAAATTTTGGTGTTCGATGACCATCACGCTCTCTACAACGAGGACGAGAGGTACTTCATCACAAAATGCGGATATAGCGAAACACAACGGTGCAACCAGTTCATTTGCACGCTGCACTCCATTTTCAGCGGGCGCATGGTAGAATACGGGCAAAAGGACAATCTCTGCGAGAAGGTGTGCAAGATGTACGAAAAGAGCGGTAGCAATGCCTGTGCTGCGGAGCAAGGTGGGGACAGCGGACAGAAAGAATTTAAGGAGCTTGGGGATGTGTTTGTGGAGATACCCACAGATTTTACGTTCCATGGCATGTCGTATCCGCAAATGAGAGGTGTTGTTGTTCTTTGCGAGTATGGCATGGGACGAATCGTAGTAAATTGAAGTATTTTACCTTTGGCTGTGCCTGAGCAAAGATGTGCAAAAAGCACATTTGCAGTGCTGATCGGTTTTATTTACGAGGGTCATCGATGGACGGTCCACAGACTGTTCGGTCGAACCGAGCTGTCCTTCCTACTGCACATCGTTACCTCATTTGAGGATGGCGTTCATGCACTTCACAATCCTTTCCATCTCCTTTTCACCCAGCTCGCTCTTCACACACATTCGAATGCCTGCCTCAGGGTTGAGCACAAGACCAACTCTTATCTTGTTCCTCGCAAACTCCTTCACCTTCTTTTCTATCGTGAGCAGCATCGCTATTCTAAAGCGGTCTTCCGTACTGTACGTTACCCTTGCTGTCTTGGTCGGTATTTTGTCCAGATCGGTGCTGCTCAGGTCGAATTCTTTGAGAATTTGCGATAGTTTGGCGCTGTGTTTGAGACTGCTAAGCGTGTTGATTTGTTCCGTTGTTAGGGTGCGTTTGGCAGCGGGGTGCCTTGTCTTCTGCACGCTGCCATGTGCGCCTTCATCGTCTTTACCCGTTGATACGTGCGTATTCGCATCGATTTTGCCTTCATCGCATGCCTCATCAACGGCCGCAGGACGTGCGCCTTCATCGTCTTTACCCGTTGATACGTGCGTATTCGCATCGATTTTGCCTTCATCGCATGCCTCATCAACGGCCGCAGGACTGTGATCGCTGGACGAACCGTGCTGCTCCGCACTTGTGCTGCTCTGCTCGTCGTTGTTGTCGAGCACGATGATGAACTCGTCTGTTTCTCCCCTTTTATCTGCAAGTCTGCCGGTGTTCATCATGTTCAGAACATTTTGCCCATCATTCGCATCGCTGTGTCCGTTTCCGGCGAGTCTCTGGTCCAAGTCCTGTCTCTCCTTGTTGCTTTTGCCTGCATCACCCCTTTCTATCGTACCGTCCTCGCCATGGCTCTGCTCCCCATCTGTGCTGTTGTCCCCCATCCTGCATGCTTTAGCAAATCCATATCCATCTATGCCAATCTGAGACCCGTCTATCGCGTTCCTTAGCGCATTTTTACCTGTTTCGTTCATTCTTACCACTATGATGGGCGATCTCTCGTCACTTACGATCGTGTACCGCTCACTTCTGAATTGTTCGTGTATACACCGCGCATCGAACCGGTGAAACGGCAGATCAAGCGCGAGCAACACAAATTTGGTAAGAAATCCCGGCAAACTCGCAGAGAAACAGTAGGCCGGTGCTAGCAGCCGCTGGTAATCCACTATATGCATGTTTCCAGCGACAAAAGCACCATTGGAGCAAAACGCATGTGCCAACGATCCAATAACGACATCAATTTCGTTGACATCCGTGCCATAAAACTTTGATATCCCGTGCCTGTCCAACAAAGGTATTGAAAGCGACTCATCGACAATCAGGCGCAGGGGATACCTCCGCTTCAGCTCAAGGATCTTCGGCAGATCAAGGATCTCTCCGGTGTTGCGGAACAGCCCCTCAACAATCACAAAATTCCTGTATTTCTTGTTGACATACTTGCTCAGCTTCTCCTCGAGTGTGCACATCTCAAACTCGATCGTTGTTGCCTTGGTGGCGTACAGGCCACGTAGAATCGCCTCGTTGCTGTGGCGATGGTAAAAAATGATGTCGCCACGCCTGCAAAAGCACGTGATCACCGAGTTCACGCACGTAAAGTTGTTGCAGTAAAGAATTGAGGACGGCAAGCCCACAATATCGGCCAGCTTCTTTTCCAACTCTAAATGCAAATCGAGCGTGCCGTAAAAACCTGGCGGTCCGCAGGTGCCCACTCCGTAGTGGCGTATTGTTTGTTTGATCTCGTCCTTGAAGCGGTCGCGTATGTGAAAAACATCGTAGTCGGCCATTTCTGTCATCGTGCCGAAGTCGTATTTAGCCTTGTGATCAGTATCAGTGTTTATGAGCGGCAACGGCGCAAATGAGTCCACGAGCCGTTGCACCTCCTGGTCAGAAAGAACGAGTGTCTTGGATCTGCGCTGGAACAGTTTGAATTTGATGAAAAGCGCGACTATGGTCAGTTCAAAGAATATGCGAATTATTTCCTGCCAGTTTTCGGTGATGAATTCCGTGTAAGACATGGCAGCACCTTGAATGTCGGTTTTAAAGCATATTTCAAAACGTGTGGTTTTGATTCGGAGTGGGTGAATCAGCATGAGGAGATGAAACGAATATGCCCAATGAATTGGTTTAGCCTATCTCAGTATCCGAGCATATCACGGATTAGAAAATGTCTGAGCGAAGAGTTAAACTACAACCGTTAAGACGGCAGCGGCAGGATTTGAATTTGCTATTTATCACCACCGAATTGTTTATCACCTATTAAAATGAGTTCAAATTCCTTTATAGCCTGAAATTATGCTGCATAGAGCGAGTTTGCGCGTCCAGACGAGCGTGCGCTCCAAGATCTGTTTCTCTGTCCTCGGATTCTTTTTTCTTCCTGTTTTAGCGGTTTATCATATTGAGCGGGTCTTTGACGTAGCTCGGAGATCCCTAATGAATGGTGTAGCGTTTAGAGATATACAGCATAAACCGCGGCTTGTGCTGGTGCGATATGCCCTGGTCACATCGTTGTAAATCAACGAAAAGATATAAACAGGAATACACGGGCAATTCATGGTGAAAGCACACGATTTTGTGTTTAAAATTTTTTGAGTACCAATTGCAAGTTTGAAGCGAAGTGTGCGCGTAACATACCGCGTTATCGCGCAATTACATTTAGTATCCATTCTCGGCGCGAAAATAATGCTTTTGGTTGCCGTTTTGCTTGTTCATACATCTTTTACGTGCAAATTGGTAAAATATTTTATTCAAAATTACCACTTATAGGCATGTGATTACATGCATTGTTGCGGTGCCAAAGATCCGATATAAATGCGCAATGATACATCCTGCATTGCTTATTCATCTATCTGTTTCCATTTCACAGTAAAATCGGTAAGTGTTCCCTCCCAGGATGAAATACACTTGGCAAATTTTACTTTTTTGTAATAAAGAATGTAAAATCTTTCCGAGTATAATTAGGCTTTTTTGTATTATTGGCGGTCAAAAAGCAAAATATGTGTCAAATAAGCGTATGTGCAGCTTATCATAACAAGGCATTGTCACAATAGTTTATTGTGCCGTATTCCCGTGCTATAGAGCGGTAAAATGAGTCGCTGAGTGCGTTCGGGCATGTTTGTCGCAAAAAAAATAATAAGGAGGATGTAGCAGATCAAGTCGGAGATGCCGATTGGCATTCTCGAGAGAAACGCGTCAATTAAAATGCTGAATTGATATGAAGGTCATGAACAAGTTAAATTTGTTGAATGAAGGAAACGGCAGTTATTGTTTGTAAAAGGGCATACGTATTGAACTGTATTATTAAGCATCGTATTCGCCAGCAGCATGGATAGATTACTGATCATGATAAATGACGGTGATCAGATCCTTTGGGCATATCCATGGCAAATGTTTATTTAACGTTGCTAACTGATCATTTGGGCGGATGAAAGATCAAACCGTATAACACTCGTAAACAAACCATCGTAATGTTTTAAACAGCAGCTTGTTCGCTATATTTCGAAGACAATACCGATGATACCTGCAACCGTACTAGCTGTGGCATCCTGCCGCTGATATGCTTTCTTTTAATCACTACTGTGATACGTACCTGTTTCTGTATTTCTTATCGATCATCGGGCACTCTATGAGCTATTTTGCACATTCCTTTTTTGCTTCCCATGACAAATCACGGAATAGATACCTAATATAATGATTTTTGTGCGATTCCTTTTTCTGCTTTTTGGTGATTTGCGTGTCTAACAGCACCATACGTCGCCGTTTCCTCCAAAAGACACTTATCATTTCACACCCAAGTCATTACAAGGTGGTGTCACAAAAATTTTTGTTTATCAACGAAGGAATCGGTCCATAAGTGATCGTTTCGTTCAAATACACACCTTTGATTGTTTCTTTCCTCTATAATCACTACATATTTACCTTAATCTCCAAATTAAATGTCATAGTAACATTTCATACCAATTTACTATTTGTTTATCTGTGTTTAAAAAGCCTCTTAAAGTATCTAATCATACCTAGCAATGCCACGACCAAAAAAATCTACGCCGCCGCCACGCAGTCCGAAGAAGAAATTGCTGGACGATAAGACATGCTACTCGTGCAAGCGGAAAGACACGCCATATTGGAGAGAAGGATGGAGACCAAGTGTTATACTTTGTAATGCGTGCGGATTGAGATATTCTAAGTATAGGCGGGTCTGTACACTGTGTAATAAGGTAGGTGTGAAGGCTAATTTTGAGAAGGTTTCGTGTCCAAAGTGCAAGAGTACGCTATAAATAAAAATAATGTGTCGTTTCTTGCAAGAAAATGCTATGTTTTGGTGCAAATTGTAAGCAAACCAGCGGGTAACATGTGGCAATTTACATCTCATATATTAAATTCTGCTATGAACAGTGTAAGTTCTAAAACAGATTAACGACAAAGCGCAAGGAATACCGTGGTGGTGAACAATCAACCGGGAAGAATTTAACAAGCGCTAGTCGCCACGTTTAATTTATTATATACCACAGATTGTGCTCATTTTGAGAGGAAATAGGAAAATGGAACCTGCATCAAACAACAAGAATGATCCACAGAAAGAAGACCAGCAAAGTCAATGACGGATCATGTCCTGCTTTTGGATTCGCAGAACTAAAATACAAACAAATTCGAAGGTGTAACGTAAATTTATGTCCATAGTACTGAGAAAGCGCTTAAAAGTTCTGTAAAAGAGGTATTGTCAGTTGTGCACGTCAAAATTGACACCGCTCCGCCATCTCAGCGAATTGTAAAGCGTCATGCTGTTAAACGGCAAACATGTCAAACGTGTATTGCGGTGAAACAGGTAATTTTGGTTTTATAAGATTGATTTACGACGTATTGGTGTGAGAAACAGCTTGAGCTTTTTGATATGCGGCAAGCAAATAAATTTTAAAAAATCTGATTGATATGATGAAATTGATTTGCGTAGAGAAATGCAATTTACAGGTGTGAAAGCACGATTTATACTATTTAATCCATCATATTTCCGCATTTTTTGCTTATACAGCGATATTAGTACGTTGTTTCTCCTCTTGCACTGTTCGCCAGTACTGTTTTCCTATCTGTCTCAAACTGTTCTTTACACCGCAACAAATGAATCATACCTTGACCACCAGCTGATACTTTTTGGTAGTTTTCTACTCTACGAAAATTCAATTCAGGCGCGTTCTCCAAAAATTAGCCATAGACGTACCTTGGTCCGTGGAATGCGCTGAGCACTTTGCTCTTGCAACACGTCATATAAAAAGACAATCGTGTGATTTTCCGTAGTTTATCAACTAAACAGGTGAGTGAGATATACCAAATGCCTGCAAAGCAGATTACAACGCCACAGAATCGCACAAACAAAGGCTTCGTTCGTGCATACAATGACAATAAATTTACCTCCGTCTACTATGCTGTTATATTTATACTACATTATCAACGTGCGTTCTACATTCAGGTACGTTTCAAGCTCTCCATGATTTGGCACAGCATCAGAGAATCGGGTTATTAGAATATAAATTTTTGTGAACAGAGAGTGAGCCGAATATTCATTTTTTATCTCCAGTTCGTGTCCTTTTCATTATTGTTCTGTATGGGAAGAAGACGATCCAATCTAACGACTCACCAGTTGTTCAAACAATCTTCTACCGCGACTAGCTTTGGCCCACATTTCACGTTACGATCCAGGCCTAATGTCTCAACTTTAGTCCATGTATTTTATGTCGTTGGAAATAGTTGGAGCTGAGGTGTAATTGTTTCCATCAGGATACGCATCGTTTCACTTCAAATTATCAGTATCGAACACTAATTTTGGCATATTCATGTCCTAAAAGTACGCAATCTGGCCCAATTAAAGATTACAGAGGCGGCACAGCATTGTTCAACCGTGTGTATTGCGAAGTGTGCATCAAGAATTATACACAAGCTACGGCCACGATAAAATCGGCAACCGCACCGCACAAAAGACTAAAACCATTCAGAATATCGACACATTCACAAAAAGCGTTTCTACCAAGGATCACTTTAATCAATTTACTCTCGTTTCAAAATATTTTTTCTTTTCGATACAATCGAAACCAACAATCCCAATATAACAAGCACGAAAGCACCAAACATGTATTTTTTCCAGCTGGAACGGTATGGATAAGGCTTAAGCTTGCCTTCGAAGTACATATTGATCAATGTCAGAAGATCGCTGTAGAAATCGACCGAGTTGAACCGCACTCGTCGGGTGAAGAATAATTGCCGCTGCGGATCAAAAATGACCATAACAGGCGACTTAAGACCGGGCAGCAACGCAGGCAGGAACATTGAAAACTCACTGACATCCAGAACTCCCATAACTTGGTCGTTGAATGGCAATCCGGTGTTGATGCGTTTGGCGGCATCCTCAAAAAGATCCACGAACTCGTCACTCTGTGTCAGGAGAAGCACTGCTGGCTTGATGCCATGGAAAATCGTGTAGAAATTGTCGTTCGTTATTCTCGTTACATTCGGGAAATGCGAGTTGAACAGCCATTCAGCGATTCCCTGCGGGTTGCTTAGCGGTATCGGACATCGGTGGAACACATTATCCTTGAACACGGTGAGGATAACGCGATCTTCATCCTTAGCATCCTCCTCGTCCGATTTCTTCGGATATATTGATGCTCTTTGGAAGAGAGCCGTATCCTTGCTCTTAAATATCTGTGCCCGCAACTTGTACTCGTGTGCAGCCTTCCTATAGAAACTGTTTGCCAGCCCAAGGTTGGTGTACAACACGATAAACTTCGGAGACTTCGCGTCCTTGGATGCGAGCTGTTCGAATTCCTCCAGGTTTATTTCCTTGAAACTTGGAGCCATGAGCCGCTCAACGAATTCTAACACGCTTGTGGGTGTCTGCTTTCCGCTGTAGCCGGCAAGAATGCCGTTATATATGGCTATGACAGCCGGGAACGTTTGGATATTGAATCTATGGGTGAGGTTTGCAGCGTTGTTTTCGCTTATTTCACCAACCTTCAGTTGACCGCTAAATTTGCTTGCAATATCTACGATCGTATCTCTCATAGGATCTTTCCGCTTTGAATAAAATAGGATAAGCCATGGACCTTCGAACCCAGAGTAGAAATCGCGTTCGTAAAGAACAATGACCTTGCCGTCCTCTGGACTAGCCCTGCTAAATATCTTCATGTCAAGATCCAGGTTGTCACCGATGAACTTCACAAGGCCGCCATAATCAGAGTAGCCCCTAAGCCTCGAAATTTCCTCCTTGCCCTTGCTCAGTATGAGTGTAGGCACGGCAACGATGTCCAATGCGTCACAGTCGCATTCATCACAGCTGATCTGCTTGAATTTAACACCGACATTGTGGCGCAGCATCGTATCCTCTAATTCGTTCATATGCGGGCTTATATTCTGGCAGTGGATGCAGTTTTCCTTGAAAAATTTTGTAAGGTACAGCGAGCCACTGGAAGGCAGTTCACAGGCCTTCTTTTCTGCAGCTAAGATCATAGGTAGCAAAATCAGCATACACGTAAATGGTTGGTGCCTTTTATATTTAATTCTAAAACAGTTTGTCGCACATCACGTATCACTGTTTAGTTTTAGAATGCGGATCGGTGCGAAATACACAATTGATAGCGTGCGTCCGAATGGCACACCGATGATCAAAGCCGTGGATGCCATGATGAACCATTGAACTACCACGTGCTGCCGCAGAATCAATCAGAAGTCCTCAACTGCACGGTTGAGTGATTTAATGCGGCAAGTCCGTACGATATTACAGCTGTATTCCGCAAATACAACCGATTTGCTGTGTAAAAGCAATTAATTGCGCTATGAGACGTAAAATCAGTGTAGTACAACCGGCTAGATCCGCATCATAAAGCTATTATCAAGAGATGCACCCATTCTTTACGGTAAGATCTGCAGCTGAAACATCTAAAAAAGCTTCTTTGCCTATACACCACATTTATGTTGCTGGTTGCCTTAACTACAAAGACAAAAGGAATGATTATAAAATAAACAGATCTTTTAACCGTTTACTCCCGTAATTTAGGATGATGTAATGCGCAGAACACCTTTTCATTTTTTAACGGAATTGTTTACCAACATTCTGATGTTTCAGCGCGAATGATGAATTGCAGACAGTTCAGGATTTTAGTGCCATCTAACACGCAGACCGATTTGAAATGAACAAAGAAACAGATGTGAATGCTGCGTTGTAGATGATGCATCGCGTGGAAGCAGAACAATTCTATACTTTACGGCTATCTCAGTTACCTTGTACAATGAGCAGCAAGTAAAGGATGCTTGAGCAATGGCAGCAAGTAAAGGACGCTTGAGCAATGGCAGCAAGTAAAGGATGTTTGAGCAATGAGCAGCAAGTAAAGGATGCTTGAGCAATGAGCAGCAAGTAAAGGATGCTTGAGCAATGAGCAGCAGGTAAAGGATGCTTGAGCAATGGCAGCAGCGTAGAAACACCAAAAGAAGTGCGCTTTAGTCGCAGATCGAAGGTTCCAACGGAAAAAAACGAAAGATGCACGCAACCTCTTTTCTCGTAAAATACGTTTATTGGTCTTTTGAGACGCACACAAGCGAGGGTAATACTACAAGGTGGAGCGAAATATAAAAATACTTTTTTGTACTTGCATCCCAAGAAAAGTTTTTGCCCACAATTTAGCGCAAAAATATCGTACCCGTACTTCTGCTTTGTTTGGTATAACAATGAGGTGAGCGTGTAGTCATTGTAATAAAAAAACGAAGATGTTCAGAACGAGCGATATATGTGTGGCATCGTTGTTTTGTAAGTGATTTTGTTATTTTACACGTTTTATTCGGCGTACCGCCATGTCTCAGCGCAAGATATTCACCACGTTTCGCAGCTTTGGGTCAGAGCCATCAATTTTTACTTCAGACTATATCCTTCACTCTGAGCTGACACTTGACAGATCAGTACAAGGCAGGGAAGCTTCAAATAGACAATACATAATAAATTGAATCTGGTCAATCATTTCCTGTAAAAAACTAGCATGTGATTGATCATCATCGCAACCATATCAGTGGATGGATCAGCTGCGAAATAAAAGAACACCAAAAAATATTTCAGTATTCTTGTGATAAATTTAATAGCATCACATGTCAATCACAGGCATGTTTGTCGGTACCTAAGGTGTTATTTCGTATTAATTTTACGAGTGCGTAATTTGTTAATTTTTACGATTTTCTCTTGGAGCATCTCATCGTTTTCAGACATTGTGAGGTATAAAATGATACGTTATCGATTCTGTTTCTCACAACAGAATAAAAAGCAATTGCGTAACCAATTCATCGGCAGGAGACGAAAGATTATTGATGTGTTATTGCAACGGTGTTACAACAATTACTTCCTTTACTATTCATATATGATACGTTTCTTGCCTTCTTGTATCTGTGATAATACCGAATGAGAGCAGTTTGGTTCAATTGATTTGTAATCAACAATTTGCTAAAAACTAAGCGAATTGGTTCTGTGACCAAAATTGAAAGTTCTTATACTGAAAAGGTGCCTTGGAATGAAACTTGTTGTGTAAAGCGATTTATGTTCGTGGAAACTTTCTCATAAGCGCAAATTAATAAAGTATAATTGAAATGCGGCGAAAAGAACGCTTCATTTCTGTCGCTCAGCTAAAATGGTTGAAAGTTCTTCTGATAGAATCGAATAGATCACTTTAACAAAACTAAAAATATAAAAGAGAAGAAATTCTAAGAATTATGGGATGTATAAGATTTTTTACCATGATCAGTTCTGTGTTTTTGATGAACAGAAAATTGTTAAGAGCGGTTGCAAAGCTGAAATAGGAATCGACTTTCAGGCAGTTAAAGAGCTTTCTGAGAAGTGTTTGCTTGCCAAAGAAAGTACTTTCCTTACTGATGCATATATAAAGAAAGATCTGGCAGAACAGTTTCACAGTACTTCAGGAGATGATGCGAGTTCCAAAACAGGTTATAACACGGAGAGCCTACGGTAACTAATAGTAGTGGTCTAACATCACCTACTGCGGAGCGCGCATCTAGTTCTTGACTGAGTATATTGAGTAATTGGAACTAAAAATAAGTTTAGGTAGCATGTTTAACATCCAAGTATTTTTTAATTTATGTTTTTTCCGTCGCTCTCACCAACGATGCACCAATTATTTACACGACATTTCGTCAACATCTGCAAAAATACAATGTGGTACAAAAATTAGTTTGTTCTAACAGTTCCACGGATAAATGTAAATATGTGATGTGGAAGTGCCTTTTCTGCTGCATAGAAACCTTTCAACACATGATTATGTCGAAAACCCTGTTCCCTCATTATGACAGCAATACCTCTTCAGTGGTCATACATGCTGTAAGTCCATGATGTTGTTGATTAATATTCTTCTCTAAGCATTTTTATCGAAAGTAGCACTTCAAGATTGTTTGTATTTTTGCTCCTCTCCGCTCGTATTTTCCGAACAAACCGTTCGTATCAAATGCTCCGTCTCGCATGTAAATACGTCTCTTTGCATTCTTGTACATTACGGCACGTGATCTGGCAGCACAAGATACCAACAATTCTCCACCATGCGTATAAATGATTTACAACACATTTTAATTCTCCAATATTCCACAATAATATAAAATTAGCTATTGCTAACAATTTTTGAAATATTATTTTACTCGAACACCGGTACCTAACTGTTCTGTGCTTTCTGAGGATGGCCAAAAAATTGGTAAAAATGTGTTTATTTGGATGAGGTTACCATGTGAAGTGATAAATTAAATATATTTGTTTTTAAATTGGTAAAAATTGTGTTTTGAAAATGTATTGATAATGATCAATGCCTTGACAGATGAGTTAAGCCATATTTTATAGCGCATTCCAAATAAACTACTCTCAAGTCTTGGAATAAAAATGGAGCATTTCCGAATACAACGATGGTACGTGCGATACTGTAAAATATAAATTATGTATCATTTTGTCAAATGATGCTCATCATTTATCGCTGATTTAAAGTGTTCAATTACGGGTGGTACCTGGTTCAGAGCGATATTATGGCAGTAAATCTGGTTAATATCCATTTTTTGGAATCTTAAACGCAAATGTGCACCGACTCGCAATTGTTGCGGTACATAATTCTCCACACATCCTTTAATGTCTTTATTTAATAATTTCGTTTCTCCTCCTTTGATTTCACATCAAAGAGGTAAAAATTCTCGTCTTTCCCGTCTTCATACACTTTGTTAAGGGTATCAACCACAATATCAGACAGCTCGATCTTCTCCTCATCCTCCTCACTCACATAATCCTCTGACCTATTCTTGTACGCCTCGACCGCCTTCTTCAGGACGGTCGCTTTGTCTGTGGCTTTTATCGCGTTCCAGAACGTGGTGTTATCCACATTCAGATACGCTATTTTCACCGCCAGAATGTTATCTGCGTTGTTAGACTCCCACTTATTGAGTCCAAATGACTTGTCGTCGAACTCGTCGCTATACACGGCGTATTTGCACTTGAAATCCACATCAATCTTCTCGTAATCAACATTCTCAACATCCACACGCACTTTGCACTTCCTGTTCACCCCCTTGATCGACCAGTGGATCGTAACATTCTGTGGCGTAAGATCTGAGTGCCGTCTTTTCAGTATGCCGTTGAAATGGTCCTGCTTTACAATTCTTCGTCCTCTGCTCTGCTTGTTGATATTCCGGTACGAGTCCACCGCACGCTGTATAAGTCCTTTCTTACCGTAGAGCAGGATGGGATTGAGCGAGACAAACTGCCAAGCGAGCATATTACACTCCGTTTCGTACTCCCATCTGTTGCCGGTGTACATCTCGAACGGAACGTTTGCTCTGGGGTATACACAGTTGTCCATTTTAAACTTCTCGTTAAGCTTTGTTATATCAACGCTCTCCAAATCAAAACGCACACAGAACTCGTTGTCCTCAAGCTCTGTTCTAGGCATCGCATTCAGCGCAGTCTCGCTAATCTTTGTGTTGTACTTGAAGCACAGCCTTTCTTCGCCGTCCACAATGCGTATGTACGGCTGCGAAGCTGGCAGGTTAACGATGCGCCGGTTGCTGGGCTGCTTCTTAACCTCCTCGCTCTTCTTCTTTTTCTTCTTCTCCTTTCTCTTCTTATAAATCCCTCTGTACTTGTATGATTCGTCATCGTGCCGCGGTATACCATTGTACTCTTGGTTTTCGTCCAATAACATGTTTTGTATTGACAGAGAGTTTAGATCATTTTCCTGTATGGTGTCATCGATTGAACTGTTGTCGCTTTCTCCACGTAGCTGTAAATTACGTAAATTCGCACTTACCATTTTTTTACCCCTCCATTTTTTTTATTTTTAATTAATTTTGAATTTGAATTTAAGGAGACCCCTCCTTTAATTGATATAGAGTAGAAACGGTGATCAAAGCGCTGATCGAACGTGAGGGATAGAGAAAAAGAGGAATACACATAATTAAGCACAGCAATGCATCGCTTAGCGTAAGATAGACATATTCTGTTTATTTGGAATATCGTGGGCTTATATCAGAGCATCTGAAAGTTCTTAACAGATAGTAGCAGCAGTCTGATCGCATTTGCCCCTGCAGATTGGTCAAAACAACACACTTTTTGCAATATTTTTTGTGAATGGCATGATGTGACCTGACAGAAAATAATTTTTACCAGTTTTTGTAAAGCATTTAACCGTGGCACACCAAAGACGGGACAGCTACACTCCATGTACGGTGTTACCAGTGCATTGTCAACAGCACTATTAAGGCTTAATGCGAAGAACCAAAAAGGTGAATGGCCTGCGAAGTGCTATATCACGGGATCATAATCCTTTTCTCAATATCATCGTGCAGACCAATCATTTGGTGTGTTCGCAGATAACGACAAAGCAAATGATGGCGTGTAAAAAGGAGAAAGGATATTTCACTAGAAGAGAAGGTTAAAGGAAGCGATTGCTCTGATGAACAAGTCTGGCAGAGATACCACCTTACGGTCATGCACAGCATGGTAGAAAATAGCCATCACGGAGAACATGCTCAATTATGAATTCCTTTCGATTTTCACGTCCATGTAACAGCATGAGAGTAGAGAACGTGCTGTTAGTGGTGCTATCAAACATGAAACCTATCACTTAGATGTTGTTGCTCCACAAATCGTACGTATGTGTTATATTGCACATCATGCAGAACCTTTTGATTGGTTACTGCTGTGCGAACTGTGAGTTATGATTACTTGTAACAAAAGAAACAGTGCTTTAGCTGGCCTGCACCATAAATACTAGATTGGTGTGCTGTGCATTGTATGCAGGTACAAGGCTATTTTACTGGGCTATACCTCGCAATGCTTGCATGCACGAGCTGTATATGATCAGTTTGGTGTACACAGCTGCTGTTTGTCTAAATTTGAAGCGAAAGATAGTTTTGAAAAGGATAATACATGCGAGTCTTGTGACGGTTCGTAGGGCCACGTTTTAATGGCAGTAGACGAGGTATTTTCAGCTGACAAGAATGCTTGTTTTAACCACATTTACCCATCGTGCACAACATCCTTCTCAGCGTGTGAAGTATTTTTATTCTATATGAAGTGTTTTAGACATGGTGTACTAAATAAATTAAATTTGCAATCCTTCTTTGAATTTATCCTGCGAATAGGTGTTTCAACGGCACATATCGCAATCAAAAAGATGAATAAACGTTCTTTTTGCAGCGCAAACGTACACCAATCAAAGACTATATATGTTCTAATATACTGGAAAAGTGAATATATGAAGTGCTTGAGGCTATTGCATTATTTGGGATAATTCATTAAAAATGAGCACCTTGCATGCTCTTGGTATGCTTCAGAGTATTTCACAGCATCTATAGAATCTTCTGCTTACTCCGGTTCTACTATGCCTATCTTCGCTCACACTTGCCTATCTTCATGTTTAGTTGTTCTGGTCTCGATTTCCGCTCTGTTATGGTACTGTAACAAGATAAAGTGTTTTCGAACGCTTTATAAAACTGGGTTGGATCATTAGCTGCTCAGTTGCCGCCCATATACGCTGCATGAGGATGTTCAAGAGGTGATATTAACATTAACTTTTTCGGTTCAATAATTCCTTATTGATCACTTGACAATTTTGTTAATTTTCATCAGTCAAGCTACCATTTATCGCCATAATCACCACCAAAACCAATTCTTGCTCGGAGCTGAGATCACAAAACTATTAAATTCCTTGATCATATCAGATTTGTACTCAAATAGAAAAGGTACCTTTGACATATTCGACAAATTATGAAAAAGACGAATAATTGGACCATCAGGAATTTTATCTATAAAAAAATATAAAGGGCCTCTTAAAGGACGAGAACAAGGATGAGTGTCTTGGTCATGCATGGCATAGAAACAATAAGTATCAAGGATGGCAGTGCAAAGGATGTGATGGAGTTGAAAAGACGGCTCGGCGAAAAGGTGAAGGACAATGATTTTTGGATTGAAGGAAACGGCGATGTGCTGGGGGATGAGGTTCTTCTGAGTGATCTAAAGGGAACGGTGAGGATATGCTATAGGAAGAAATATTGTGATTTCGTGGATTGCAAGCTTAAGAGAAGCAAGGTTTGCAGTGATTGCAGGTTCTGCAAATACCTGTTTTGCGGCATGCACAGGATGCCGGAAGAGCATCTGTGCAAAGAGATAAAGAGGTGCAAGGAGGAAGCTAATCTTAAGAACGCCAATAAATTGGAGGAGGGAAGAGTTGACAAGAATAAAGTATAGCGTTTGATTGGTTATTTAGAGGCAGATTTTTTCGGCCTGCGTTACAGCACTCAAAAATATACTTTTGCCATATTAATATAGAATAGCACGTGAGGAGTAACTGCCTCCGGTGATCTTGGGCGTGATGTACCCATAACAGATGATCGTTCTTGCGAGCCAGTCTGTTTGTTAGATCGTTGATTGTTCTTGTTATCATGTTTCATTGTTAACTACCATCAATATACCATGCGCGATGCCACCTCGAAACTATTGGTGAAATCTCAATAAATGTGCAGCAAGCAAAACGTTTGTGACAAGCGGTTCATAGCACTGGTGATTAAAGTTGCAACAGAAAGTGTTTTAAGAATATCTTGCAGTTCTGCTGTATGTATAATCTTATACAAGCAGCATTTCTGTGCTGTATCATCTTCAGTACAGCAACATACACATTTTAGCCGTGATCCATACTCTTGTGCAGCTAAGATCTTGATAACCTCGCAAAAGCTGTGCCTATAACACACGACTTAGTTCGCTACGATTTAGCAACACGTTTTCGGATTTGTTTGTGGTTTGCACGATATATCATATCAACTTTTGTACATGTCTCCAGTGTGTATGCAGATCACTTTCATATTACGCTTGGTAGTTCCGCAACTGCAAATTATATCGTTCATGTTCCTCGCAACAAACCTATAGGCAATGATTTAGTTCAGAAAGGTGATAACTTAATAGGTTGCTGTCATTCCTACAAATTTTGATCATGCTAACCGTTGAATGGTAGTACAGGAGGATTACCGTTAACAGACTGGTCATTGTAAACAATCCATTATGACGAAACACCCCATAAAATTCTTAGTACCCACCAAGTCTTGGACCAGTAAATTATTTGCGTTTTCCTATTACAACCAATAAACAACGTAGTTGGTAATAACAGCAGAAATGCTGGTATTGCACGGTGGTCCATGCCGGCTTTTGAGAGCGTGTACAATCCGGATTAGATGATGTTTGTAAAAAGAAATGACACTTTTGAGTTTTAATCTTAGATGATGGTCTAAAACAAATAAAGTGAAGACGCTTAAAAACCTTTGTTTCTGTTTCGACTATACACGATCCATGATCTTGGTCCATTGGCAGGTATTCAAACATGAAAACTGACCAAATAAAACATGGTTTGATCAAAATACTTCTTTAGCTTGTGTTGCTAACCATTGTGCAGATTGTAATCGCTGCCCCTACAAGAACAAGTTTCAATTACCATAGCAACTCCATATAAAGCAGCTTTCACACTCATTGTTTGAATATTTCCCGAATCGCATGACATGCACTGTTACGGGCTTATACGCTCACACAGCGAAACACATTCAAATTCGCACTTGAAGTTCTTAAAAAATTTTTGGATTCGACCCCTTAGAAAAATGGTAAGTGGTATTTTCTAATTTACAGGGACAAATCAAAATTAAATCGGTGAAAAAAGCTGCTAAACAAATAGTTGAGAAGTACTATGTGTATCTGAACGAGGATTTCTACCACAACAAGAAGGTAGTGTCGGATTTTACGGAGATTCAGACAAAAAAGACCCTGAACAAGGTGACCGGTTACGTGACGCATTTAGTTAAGCTGGTGTTGAAGGGAACATCTAAGGGTTTATACATCAAGAAGCACGAAGAGGACAGAGAGAAAAAGGAAGGATATCTTCCTAAAACGAGTTTGTTGGACTCCGACAAGGTTCTGGTTGATTCGGTGACTATGGAAATGATAAATTCTTACGGATTTGAGGGCAATTTTATTGAGCGCGGAAAGAACGAAGCTGAAGTTGCACAAGCGGAAAGTAATTAAAGGAAAATAAATGGTGATCGTTAGTCCTGGCTGTAGTTCCATCGAGTTGAAAGACGTTGGTTAAAATGCTGTACTAAACGCATGTTGTATAATACGGCGTACTCCGTTAATAACTTTGTTTTGAAATGTTTAGTAACGTTTTCTCACTGAAAATTTGTATGTTCACAGTTTCTTGACCATGATTCGGCACGCGTCCCGGTCTTCAAACGTAAATACTAATAATATTTGCAGATTTGAAAGCAGAAAAATCAATCATCCTAGTAATTGTATAGTCCGGCTAGTAAAGTTGTACTAAAATTAAGATTATTCAGAAATAATAGGTGGATGTTTGCTACGACGCTGTAATATGCCGTGAGTATGCAATAATGATAGAATGTTTTTACAAAAGGTGTGCCAGCATCCCTGTCGTTATGTACCGTTGTCGTTTGTTTCTGAATTTCCTTTCATTAAGCGCATTCTTTGATTTTATACATATGATAGAATGTAAGAAAGGATCGTTTGCCCGGAATGTGCGACGACAGTCTTCATTTAAAAACACTCCATACAGCGTAGAAAACGGATCCGAATGAATTGTTCATTTGTAATGTTTGTGCAGTGCTCATTGAATCCCTGAAGCCTTGGAAAGAGCTTGTGGTCAAAACTGAACTTATTTAATATGCAGAATCAGAGTGTCGGATAAACAAAGGGGGTGCATCAACCATGCTGGGCTAAACGAATGACGATGTAACGAGAATATGGCTCATCTCGTGGAAGCTTCTACACACCAATATATTCCTAATTGTTGATAGGCTACGACTTACATCAAGTTGCATGTTGTTCGAATAACCTTGACTCATTTATCATAAGAATGTTCATGGTCTAAGTATGTTACAACTGTTGGGTTAACGGATATATGATGTTGTCACCAAATTTGTGTCAAATCGGGTGTTGCTTTTTAAGGGTTGGCTCTACGCTCTGAAATATGTCCTTCAAGCGTTTCTTATGTCAAATTCATCGTAAATACGGTTAGTTTGTGGCGTAAGGTAATAAAACGATGCCGTATGCTGTTCTTTCTACAATATGATGGTGTGAAAGTAAAAATAGGCACATTACACGGAAATGATATGAGAGAATAAA